ATTTAATGTCAGTCGAATGGTGGATGTGAAACTTAAATAAGGTCGTCAAAACTTTTCATATTACATCCTTGTTACAATCATCGTCCCTGCTGTACTTGACTTCTCACCATTAGATACCGCCATTCCTCTTGTCAAATGCGAATTCTGTTCATATATTTGCATACATTGGGTTTTTTTTCACTGAAACGTGCCACCTCACATTAAACTATCCAATTGCAACTACAAACTAGTGTATATTGGGGGGGGAAAATATCCTAGAAAAAAGTACATACGAGATAACATTTTGTTTTCTATTATTTTTGTTTGATTTTGTGAAAGAACTCTTCACCATACTTTACTGATTCAAAAGGGGACTAATGTAAACCATCTTGTCGCAGTTTGATGTTTTGTCATTGAATAACAAGAGTTTACATACATACTTATTAATCCTCCAGAAACTTAAAATTAAAGACTCTACACTCTCCCATTCTCCAGAATCATATCCGTACAACAACGCTTATTATCTTACAACAGAACTCTAAGACAAACGTGATGACTTTAATGTCACGAACTTTTAAGCATTCTTCCTCTCAATAATAACTTTCCAGTCTACATGGCTTCATCAATAGGCCCTCAATGTCACACCCAATTTGGGTCCGCCTCAAGCTGGATTTGAGTTTCCCATCAACTGTTAAGACATGTTGTGTATATGGAGAATAATGATATATAGCGAGTGTCAACAAAACCATAGTTCGAACTCAAAAATGGTAATACGTAATACTATGGCAAAATATGAACAAATGGAGAAATGAAACGGAACCTCTTGAACAATTACAAGGAAAATAAGACCAGGTGTTCCGGAAGGTTAAGCTTGTTCTACTTTATCGACGACACCAGAAAAATCTAATGAAAGTTGATTTCAAATACTTGATATTTTGGGACCAGTTGATTTACTACTTCAGACTCCATTTTCTAAGTATTGGGATTTTGGGATCAGTTAATTCACTATTTCAGACTTTATCTTCTAAGTATTGGGATATTCTGTTAATCAGGGTTGATCGGGGCGTCCTACCGGGAAATTTAAATCTACCTTAAAGGAAATTATATAGTCGTCATCACGACCAGACTATCACGTACGGAATGTCATTGTCAACAATGACCAAAAAGTGTTCGCAACGTTTCAAATATTTGTTCACCAACGAACATTTTCGGAGTTGATGGAGACAACACGCCGGGTGCCACATCAGGTGCGGGAAAAGCTTACCCTTCCGTGACATATGATTTCATTTCTAGATTTTTGTGAGTGTTCGTGACTTTCCATTATTAAAGTGTCTCCTTTGTTGATGCTGCTGTATTTGTGTACCCACTTTTTACATGCGGTCTCTTGCGCTTATAACTATTGGCGGTTCACTTTCATTTTGTTTAAGAAATTATGCCGTTGTTTCGTATTGTTAACCGGCCCATCGACAATTTAGTTGTTTCGGCTTATTTGGAGTTGTGATATTGTCCTTATCGTTATAACGCCCAAATTGCACTGTTATAAACTGGAAGGTATTTAGTTGTTTAAACATGCAGTGAGGCAGTATCTACATTCAAAGCTTAAGGCACAGTGAACTGAGTGCAAATGGAATTGTAAACTAAAACACTGATTTCTTCCTTCCAGATTCAGCAATTTCAAGTGGATATTTCATCAGAGTAGAATCAAATCTACCGGGTTTTCTTTTTCTTGTTTAACAATATATAAATGGTGTGCAACTGTTCGTGGAAGTAAAGTTTCGTATTTCACTTCAAGGTTTTTTTGTTACCTGTCTACTTTTATAACTTATCTGTGTGACCTTTATTCCTACAGTTGTCGGAGTTATCAACTTCCAGGTCATCCATTAAGCGACGAAGTTTTTTTTTGTTAAATACAATTTTAATCAGTCAGTTGATAAACAAAACTCTTCGTCCCTTTGGTTGGTTAAAATCCTAAACTACTGAACGTGGCGGTTCGAAGGTTGGCGCCATTTAACAATGTTATTAAAACAAATGTGGGTGTCTAGATATAACCACAGCTCTATAAAGTTACCCGATTTGTTGTTTGTAAAATCGTTCTAGAAACACATTCCCTAAATCTGTGATCTTGTTTGTTAGATAAGCTTAGTAAACAACAAACGCATATTGTCGAACCTTGATGATATTCTGACAGAATCATTTAACCCTTTCACCACTGTGGACCATAATGGACTCATCCAGATCAATGCATGGGAGTCTACTAAAGATGCTTAGGGGTGAAAGGATTAATCAAATGTCCAACTTAAAACAAGCTTCAATTCAAACCTTTGATTTTCAGAGAATGTTTAGGTCCTATTGAATATTTTTTGTCCGGGAGAGTTTAAAAAATGTCATTTCATATCTACTTTGTTTGCATGGCCAACAATTTATTGCAATTTGATTTACAATGCTTGTTGATAAAGACCAATTCCATCTAGTTTCATTACAAACATACTATATACACGGGGAGTACATTGTATTTATCGTTTAAGGATTGTAAATTTCTTAAAAAATTTACATCGCTACAATTGCATTTTTTTTTTAAATATTTCCAAATTTTTGAAAAAAGTTCTGAAATTTCCAAATCAACATAGTACAGGTCTCTGAATAAAAGGTACAAAAATCACTTACAGGGATGTTTTAATATCTGTGTTTAATGACTTAACTATTCAACTATCTAAATGCCATAATTCTATTAATGCAGATGAGATGGGTTTGAAAGAACCCTGGACTTAATTGGTTCACCAACATATAGCTCATCAAATATAGATGTTGTTAATATCAATGTGAACCTAGACGGATAGTGGCGCCCATCATCAAAGAGTATTGATCAGATCTACAACAGATGATCTTTTTGCCTCCTTTACTCTTCATTTTCCTTACTATTACCCAGTCCCATGTTGGAAATCCTAAACGAGAATCTTGTACATAAACTTATACCTATGACAGATCAGTCCCAAATTATGCATAACTAAGGACCATGATGAATCTGCATGTAAAATTTGAGAGAGATTCTTCCAGTACTTCCTGAGAAATAGCACAAACAAACTTCAACTATCAAAATTCAAGATGACAGCGTTGGCTATCTTGGTTTGCAGATCAGTCTCAAATTATGCATAACAAGGGACCATGATGAACTTTCAACCAAAATTTGGAAAAGATCCCTTAGGTTCTTTATGATAAATAACGCTTACAAACTTTAACTATCAAAATTCATTCAAGATGGCCATTTTGGTCTTCAAATCAGTCCCAAAATTATACATGCATAACTGCGGGCCATGGGGAACTTCATGTAAAAAGAGAAAGATCACGCTAGTGCTTTCTGAGAAATAGCGCTAACAAGACTTGTTTAAGGGCGGATGGATAGACGGATGACGGACCACAGACAAAGGGTGATTTAAAGAGCCTTAAATAGCTAGCATCTGATGATGGTGGGCTATTTACAAATGAAAAAATAAGAAATTCAACAAGACGTAAGTTCTTATATTTATTACATTACATATGAAACTTAACATGTCGACAATATCGCTCTGACATCACAAAGAAACATAATTATGAAATTGACATAAAGTTTATTTTTATAATCATAACTTATAACTCATACCATTTCTATAGTATAAAGTTTAAAGAAATATTAAAGAAGAACAAAACCTGTAAAATTTTGCATAAACTTTGATTCATAGTAAAACTTGTTGTTATGGTTACCTAGGTAGTTATAAAATATACATAGATTTTAAACTCGTAAACTTAATACATTTGCATAATCCAATCACCGTTTATCACAGAAAGTTCACTGATCACAACTTATGGTTTGTGCATTATTATCCCTTCTCACCAATGCCTGATCATATCTTACAGTAAAACTGACATATATTTATATAAATAAAATCATCAAATAAATATATCAAAATATGTGTATCACAAACTAGAATTAGAATTTATAAGCAGCAAGAAAACTACTAAAGTACGGTGAATTCAAATTGGTATATAAGATAATACCAAGGAAAATTTTCCTTTCATGATGAAAGTTCACTCATAAGATTGCATGTTGTCCAAGTTTATTTTCACAAGAGCAATGCCAGGTATCCTCTGCATGAAGAAAGTTTTTACAGACAGAGCACATTAGACACACGATGATTGGTTCCTATGTACAATAAAATCCTCCGTCATGTTTCCGTGAATATCCTCCGTTGGTTCCGGCGCTGTGTGGACTTTCTGTTTGTGAGAAAAAGTTAGTGGCAAGCTACAGTGATTGTGCAAATTAATGAGACTGACAGGAAATGGGGAAATCAGAATCACCCAGGATACCACACGGGGGAAGGAGAGCAAACAAGGGGAGGCAACTGTGACTGTGCGAGGAGACTAGCAGAGAAAACATCATATATATGCTTAATATTTTGTATTAAAAAAAATACATATATTTGTATTTGTTGCCCAATTTGACATTTATAATCTTAAAATAGAAAGAAAAAAATAGCAAATTAAATAGTATTAAAATGAAATACACATATTGTACTGATTTGAGATATATATGAAGAGCCATCTGAAAATGCTAACAGTAGATTTTTTAATAAATGCAAAATATTACTAGAATAGATATTGTCTTAAAATTCAGGAATTTGTTATCAGGTCAAACATTTTGAAGTGAAATTATTTTTTTTTCATATTTTTACTTTTAAAAACAACTACAGTAATTTTGGAAGAGGAATAATTAAAATTTAAAGATAAACAGTTACACTCAAGTACCACAGACTACTCAAATGTTAGCAGCCAGACAATTGCATATTGGTTAATAGGTAGACAGGATTAGCAATCAGATCAGTTAGTAATTCTGTATTCAAACAAGGTTTTAGCAGTCATTAACTAGTTAGATGCTACGTAGCGATTAAGAACATTATATAAGCAGTGAAATATACAGCTGTAAGAAATATTAACGCAGAAGTTTTATGGAAAGTAAGTGAGGTTTAAGAAGATTAGACAATTGTGAGTAGAGTTAACGGCAGTGTGATATTAGGATACAAAGAAGCCGCCATCTTGCTTCCGCGAATACCCCTTGTTGGTAGTTTGTGTGTGGTGGCCTTCTGAAATTTTGTTAATGAAGAAACAAAATATATATAAACTGTAGCATTTACAAGGCAAATTCACTCTGGCCTCAAAATTAACTGTGCTATATTGGGGGAAAGGTTTCTGAATGTTTCCTTGCGGCATTAAATTGAGCCCTTTTTTTTTAATACAAAAACTAACCAGTAAGTTAATGACTACAGTAATACTAATTTCATTGTGATGTGTTCTTGAAAAACAAAACATTTATAAAGCAAGTTTATCTTTTTTAATTTGTATTTTTTTTCTTTCTTTATTCTTTTTGTTCAAGTTTTAAAACTGAACTTTACAGGAATAAATTTTGAGGCCTTCAAACAGATTCAGTCAAATAAAAATTAGATCACATATTTTGTATTCATGACTGTTGTAAGGAAATATTTGTTCGTCTACAGTAAACATTTGAAAATTGCATGAAAACCTTTTTATATCTCCTAGTTATGAAAAGATGTGATCTGATTTTTACAGGAATGAAATGGATTATTCCACTAACAAACAAATTTTATTCAATTTGAAGTTACTGAGCATAACAAATTGTTAGCATTAAAATTGTAAATTATTTATAAGAAAACAAGTGATCAAGTTCAAATCTCACACCAGTATTATTTAAATAAATTCTTTGTTTTATTGTTTATATCTAGTAAGTTTACAAGTTTGTTTGTTGTTACATGTGCGTCTAGGCGTTCTTGTTTATCTGTTGATATAATAAGTGTGTAATGAAGTATAGACTGGGGTGTCCAGCCATCAGTATAGACTGGGGTGTCTCGCAAATAGTGTTGATGAAAGAGAAATGAGTTCTTTATCTTTTTTTTTTTTTTTGATTTATTTATTGATAACCAGTTATATAAATTGGTACTATCAGTGTATTTCATAAGCAAAAGGTTGTCACTTTGTAAAAATTTGCTTCCTTTAAAAATTTAATATTACATGAAAAAAAAAATGATATAAAGTTATAATTGTATGCAATGTAATAAGGCATATTCATTATATTCATATACATAAAAAAAAATCCACAATTTAATACATTCAGTCACTTTGATATTTGTGTTGTTAAAATAAATACATTTTACAGGATCAAGTACAGAGATGTTTCAGGCTAGCAGGTACATGTAATTAATGCAGGATAATATTTGGCATCAAACATTAAGTGATCAAATAACGAAAAATCCCCCGTCAGGTTTTCTCGAATACCCGTTGTTGGTAGTTTGTGTGTGGTGGCCTTCTGTAAGGTTTTAGAAAAATGAAGAGAAAAATGAAATATATATATAAAAGAAATGTTACGGTTAGTTATTAGTAATGTATTTATATATATATATATACTTGGTTGGATATGGTAAAGTTTGACTGAAGAGAGTAGGAATGTAGGAACCCCCAATGGCAGTGGCGGATCCCAATGAAGAAAGAACTAAGGCAGTTCCTTTCATATTGTTCAAGTGTCAATTACATAATCAGATTTATTTATCTTAGTTTACTTAAAGAGAGATAAACATTTTACTCATGACTTAGGATGACTGAATTCAGCACAATCGATCTCTTAAAAAAAAGTTATCAGATGTTGTATACAATATATATATATATGAATATGTATTTATATGTTTTAAACTATACAGTAAATTGTCATCATACAGCATATCATATGTTTATTTTCTATACGACATTTCTGTATTTGTTTATTAAGGAGTTGAATGTTTTTTATATTTATTTGATGATAAAGATATAGAGAAATATAATACAAACCTATTGCATTTTCTATAGAATGGATACTCTCCTTCTTCTTCTGAGACGAGATAGAAAGGGGGTGATTTAGGTAGGGCACTGGGACAATAACTTCTTGTTCACGGTTCTTCAATACGCGCCTGAAAAATAATTCATTCATTTTAACAATGAAAGGCTGAACTGATAAGAAGCAATTAATACCATAATTTCACAAATAAATTGAAAAACAGGAATCAAAATAAACTGATGCTTGTCATTATTTATGTTTTGAAATCAGACTTAGCATATTGTTTTATGCAAGATAAAACATTTTATGTTAAATCACATGTTTCATTATCTTTTAATTCTGTGCTTGTATCATTAAATTGGAATCTTTATATTACATAAACTGTGAGTTTATGCTATGTTGTCATTAAGTTTGCAACAATTTTGAAATGATTTGTTCATGCAAATTTCGTTCTGCAATGGAAACATGTCAAATAGTCTGTCCATCAGAAGTTTAGGCCCTGCTTTACGATGATCTTTGTCTTTGGTTAGATAGAATGGATTCAGAAATATTCACCCATGTTTAACTCCGAGTGTTTCTGGTTGGTATAAGGTCTCATTGTGGTCTTTCAGGAAAGCTTGATGATGATTGTATTTGGATTTCAAAATAAAGTCCAGACTATCTTTTGGGGCTACAGGATCATGGTGATAGATCTCACGACGTGAAGAAGCTAGAGTGCATGTGGTGTTGAGTCTGTTCCAGGGATCATCATTCTGTGCTAAATGGGTAGGCTTCTGGTATCCTGCAATCTACAAACAAAGCCAACAATCATGTACTTGCCTCAGGTGCTGTTTTCAGATTTTTCAGTTTTTAAAAGGAATTTGGTCCGACACTTCTAACCAAAAAGGGGTGGCTAGCTGTAATATATCAGATCTAAAACCTTGACAGACTTTGAGACCAACCAGGCAGAAGAGCAGTTTGCATGTCAACATTCCATGGGATTGCATTAGAATAGTCACTTTTCAGGTTCCTGTGCTGCATCTGCACTGTGTAAGGCCAAATAAAAAAATCTTGTGTTTCCACTAACCCTACCTACCCTATATTTTTGTGCCTACATAGGCATTTTTAGTGATATGCACTGTTAAATTATTATTACCAATGCTTAACGGCCAATCAACACAGGATAGGTCATTAGGGCCAACAAATGGTCGACAAAAATAAATAATGAATAAAAACATCAAACCAAACTGAAGGGTAAAAGACAAACATCAAATTGAACATTGAAAGTGGCTATGGTGACTCAAATTTTATTTAAAAGACCTACAGCTTTCAGATAGCCTAAAATTGAAGAGACAGTTATGTTTAAGCCAGAACTCCTGCTCTATATAAAAATAGTTAAAATATTTTTCAAAATAAATAAAAATTGCCTTCCTACATGTACCTACCCTATCTTTTCTGAGGATGATAGCTAGCGGAAACACATTTTTTTGGTCTAACAGGAAATAATTATTTGACCTACCCCATCGCTATAGTCATGTACATGTAAATATATGTACAGCTGTTGTATAAATATTTGTCTTAATGTTGTTAACACATAGTAGGAATATAAACCATGAATATATGCATACAAACATTTGGCAGTTCGAGTAATAACAGACTGTATAACATATTTTGATGATAACAGAACCCAGTCTAAACAAATCTTACTTCAGCTCTTAGTTGACCCATGAAGTTGTCGTCATTCTGATTCCGAGGAAAGGAATACGGATCCCGGGTAGACATCGATTCTTGTGCAGCCATAGTTCTGTTTGGCCTTCCTTGTGTACAGCTGCTTGTCTCAATATACCGCGGATGTTGGCGACGCTTCTATAGCAACCGTGGGTCTCGCGGAGTCTCGGGTTAGCGTTGTTTTGTAGTAGTCTGCTAATTTATTGTAGTTATAAAAAAGTGTATTGTTTAATATAATGATATCTTTTGATGAGTTATTTCTTCCCTTAAAATCATTGAAAAAACATGAAAAATTAATAAATTCTTGTTTCCGTATCATTGCGCATGTACTTACACCATTTCCGGTTTCCGTGGCCAACAGTTAACTTTCCGTCACCATCTGGCTCATCTGTCAACTGCATATGTGACATTTTACCATCGTGCAGGCTGTAGTCATTTGTTTCTTTGTGATAGAAACAACCAGGGACAATGGCAAACTTTCTGGTGCTGTTATTTTCGATGGTTTTAACTGCATATACATCGGAAGGACGTCTACCAACATGTCAACCGGTAAGAGACAATGTTTTGATTTGGTAAAGCTCTGTATGTTTTTTATTTACATATCCTTACACGTACGATAACGACAACGTATCGTAAAATCAATACAACAAAACACTATTAAAAAAACAGAGCAGGACCAGGGTCACTCAAAATGTTTTTAGTAGAAGAGTGGTGGATTCTTGGAACTCCCTTCCCAACTCAGTAGTAGAAGCCCCATCTCTAAACTGTTTTGACTCTCCCTAAACACTTTCTGGAAAAATATACCGTCCATGTTGTATCCTAGTTTTTATGCTACACAACCGGTTAACAGTATGTTACCGAAACATGATGCGCCTATATTAGCTACTTCAAGCTAACAACGGTGTTGACGAAGAGGTACATGTAAACAGGTAGCTGCGATAACGTAGCTTTCTGACGACGAGATAATTTTTTTATATATTGCGTCGTCAGAGCTACGAAGCGGTCCTATGCCAACTAATGGAGCAAAATCAAAAGTGTTAATTTGTAAGATTGCATATAATTCATGCCTCATATGAGTATAATGTTATCAAAATAATGCATAATTGTTGAAAAAACGAATCCTTACCCATGCAAAAACTCTTTTACGAAATTAAACAAAGTCCGTCTTGGGGGAAAAAAATATTGTTGACCGCCATGACAGATCACGCGTGATGTTATCTCAATTATCCTTTCTATATATGGCCTGCATGGCCAAATATAGTATTACTACTGATGCCGCCATGCTAATTACAATTTCCATATTGGGTCATGACACCCATATTTGGACATCTGACCTATATCGGAAGAGAGATGAAATTTCCAAAATTGCGGTCAATTCAGATTTCGATTACGCTTGCTACGTTAACTTGATAATTTAATGACATTTTAGGCAGAGGAAACTTCAAATTGTGCAGGATATCAACAGAAATAGTTCATACTACAACCTTATTTATGGATGCGGACCAACTGTTGATTCACACCGGGCTCGCTCCATTACAAGGTATTGGATTGATTTAATACCCGGCCAGGGCAGAGGAGGCCGGATATTAATATTAGTACCAGTAAACAGGTAACGTGTGTCTGAAAAGTATGCGTATAGTTTATATTACCCAGATTAAAACAAGTTTTGAGTATTAGTGGACCGAACTGTGGATATATGATTATGGAACGGCCTATCATCGGAGATCGTAATGTCATTTGAACATAGCCTTGACCGTCATTGGAAGAACCAGCCACTTGTGTATTATAACCACAGGGAAGCCATCGAAGTCACACATACTAATGGTCATTGATTGAACTTTAACGAAAATGTCACATTTGAACATTTAAAAATTGCGATATACAAGAGACACCCATATACGTACCAACATCTTTATTTTTGAACCACACTCATTCAATTCACAATGTTACTGTAATATAATTACTAATAATTGAACATCTGTTCTCTATGGAACTGTGCAGCTATNAGGGATTCAATAGAGTTCCTTACTGATAAAGCATAATAAAAATAAAAAAGGAATCTCAACAACACGAAGACTTTTGGTGAAACTGCAGTTTCACCAAAAGTCTTCGTGTTGTTGAGATTCCTTTTTTATTTTTATTATGCTTTATCAGTAAGGAACTCTATTGAATCCCTTGGATCCGACCGGAGACACTACCGCAAAGTCCTACATTAGGAGTGTTGGGTCACCCATTATTTATTATTGTAACTTTTATAATTGAGCTGACAGCAGAGGAAATTATACAATTTCCTACAGTCAGAATAAATCTGTGTATCTGTGTAAAGATACATGTACATGCTGTAGCGGAACTGGACTGGGTCGATTGTCGGCGACCAGATAGCTCAATTGCTAGATCAACCGTCTAAGGGTTCGGAGAATCCTGGATTCGAAACCAGGTTTGGTCAAGCATTTTTCCTCTCCTGTTACAGTGCATGGTGCTTGTGACCAACACTTGTTTCTACTCGTACAGTGTTAGAGCTTTACACGGCGAGATACTTTTGACAGGCGCCATGTACATTGTACAGACGGCAAAATCATATCCGATAGAAAAAAGGCAGACCAGCAGCCTCTTTTGTTATAGAAGTACCCTTGTTTCAAGCATTTGGTGTATGCTTGGCAAGGCGATACCCGAACCTGGGTTGTAAATAATTGTATCTTATGGGGCGAAGACTTAGAAAAGGAGGGAGGAATGTAGCTGAACTGGACTGGGTCGATCGTCTGCGACCAGATAGCTCAATTGGAAGATCGTCCTTCTAGAGTCCGGGGGGTTTCGGACCCAGGTCTCGCCGTGTATTTTTCATCTCCTGATACACATGCAAATGAGTAATATGTACCATTCTGATTTAATAACTCTTAAGAGAATATATAGAGCAGTAAAAACCGGGGTACTATCAGCAGTCACTATCAAAGATAGAAACAACATAACAACATCACACCATGAAAGCCAACAGAAAACATGGTTAAACGACGAGACAGATTATGGAAGCCTGTATAGCCCGTTGGTGAAGGCAACACCAGTTATTGCGCCACCAATTATGGAAAATGTACATGTATCTACAGTTGCTTTGTGTGGGACCCACACATCAAGACTAACACATTTATCTTTAGAGAAAGTGCCAAGAACAGCAGCATGGTTTGTCTTCAAAAAAGCATACAGTTATATACACATTGCAATGGCTACGTTCCAGAAGCAGTCACTAGCTGAATAACATTGATTAAGATTGGATACGCAGGAGCCACAATTCAACATAACACAACATCTTTCAAGATAACAAGAGTCAAATGTGTTAAAAGTAAACATTTAAACAACTTATTCTTAATAACCATGGCAAGGAATTCTATAAAGTTTCCTGAAATAAATTGCAAGGTCAATGGATCAAATGTGTAAAAACCTTTAGACAACATCTTCTGCATTACCATGAGGCCCTGGGTGGTGCTATTTGACCAGTAGCATGCTGGGATAGAGTAGTATAACGTTTCATTTGGTCTGAAGCATTCATAAGCCAAGGAGAATTAATGAATAGTACATATGAAAGTATTTGCAAAATTACTTTTATTGAAAGCATTTTCCAATAATTGCTCAAATATCCAGGTGGGTGATACAAGCCCTATGGGTCTCTTGAAGTCTTGGGTATTTGCAGAATTCTGTTACCTAGTCAACTGGTACCACAGGCTAGCACATAGTATCTATAAATAGCAAAACCCTTGGAGTTTGAAGATAGTTCATAAAACCCTACATTGACAAGAAATGTAAAAGGCAATAATCAGCCAGTTGGGACTGACTAGACGCATGAATCACAGCTGCCATGCATATATATATTGTGTGTGTAAGGTGTAATTGCCATTGGTCTGAATGCCAGCTGCTGATGCTAAATTAAATTTCTACAGTATGTTACGGTCTAGCCCAAGGCAACGTAATTATGTTATGACACCACACATAGATCTACATGTACAGTGTTCATTGTGGAAATTTCAAATGTTATATCAATGATAATAGCTAATGTCTGTCAGAAGTGAAAGTGTTCGTTGTAAATTTAATTAATCATTATTATAAAGCTCCTTTAATTGTAGACTTTGAGTTGATGAAAACACAATGAAAATTTCCATTTTTAACTTGATATCCAATCAGTTTACTTAAATAGTCAAAGTAACGTACAAATGCATAATGTTGATCATTATTGGTTTTCTTAAGATCAATAACAACTGAAATCATGGTCTACAATAATGTAAGATGCTTTATAAAACATATAAACAATTTGTTTTTGTCTTTAGAACTTTTCGACTTTTAGGCTGCCATAGGGTCAGGGTTAATAATAGGTCTTGTGTAAATTACCATGTAATTATGTGTAACGCACATTAAAGTGAGCAAATCAATAGCAGGTCAAAATGCTTCAAATTTTTATAGGGAAAAAAAGAGTGACAAACTGTCAAACAAACAAATTTGTCTGTGTAATGATTGCTAAAGGGAGGAAACAAATTCAATCTCAATATATACAGATGTATAGTCATTGTAGACATTTTATTCTATATATAGAAATATACATTATTTTGTATATAGTCCTTTTCTATTGTGGTGAATGTAGTTATGTAGTGTTTTTATGAGATCTGTTGGTGCCTGTTAGTGTTTAAATTCAAAGAAGATTTCACTGCAGTAACTGCAAACCTGTTAATAGTGTAAAATAAATGGATAAAGAGTGGAATGCTTTTATGAAATAGGGTCTGGGAGGGGATTGTCAAGTTTGCTAAAGCATGAGAATCAAAACTAAAATTACTTGTTGTTTTTTTACTGTACATGTATGTATTTTCAGATAGAAACCTTTTGTAGGTAAAAAATCTCATTCTCAATAATATACTGAACTGAAAGGCAAATAACAATTCAATACATGTACATTTACTGATAATGAGTTCTTCCCTTGCTGTAATATAGGATTAGCAATTGTATCAAGTCGATTCAGGAAGAAGCATACAATACATGCTTCTTGGCCTTAAATATTACCACAGGTAAAATATGGTAACTGATCAATAATGAGTCCCCGTGTGTTACATTATACAGGTGTACACGTACCTGTTATGACCGCGGCAGGATGATCAGCTGATCATATATACATTAACCAGGTGTACCTTTCTCTCTATCTTGATGATCATTTCTAAGGCTATATGTTCTAATTTCATATCCCTTAGGCACGTTTGTAAATTGAATCAATGTGGGTGTTTTTTTGTGTAGCAGACTACATGTATATAGATACACCGTTGACTGTATACATTACACGAAATACTGGGAAGCAAAGTTTACGGTTTATATATAAGTTAAATTGAATTTTTCAGAATAAACAACTTTGACATAGCGCCCTATCTAGCTAACATAAGCGACTCTAAAGCACTTTACAAAACATAGATATACAATTAAAACAATTAGCATATTTTAGGGATTTTATCCAAATTTAGCCTGCTGTGTCCTTTGTCAAAGGGGACTAAATATTGTATAAACGGAGGATGTTTCCCCCCTGTATGCAGAGGGGTGGGGCTCAAAATTGGAATTTGAGGTTTATCTTCAAATTTGGCCTGAAACATCTGTGGGCAAAGGGAACTTAATTTTGTGTAAACAGAGGGTGTGGCCCCTCTGGGTGCAGCGTTGCGGGGACCAATAAGCGAATTTGAGGTTTTGTTCCTTAAAATCCTCCTTCTGTACCATTGAAAGGATTTTTAGCTCGCCTGTTCGAAGAACAGAGAGCTATAGCAATACCGTCGGCGTTAGCGTGAAAATTTTCAAGTTTTACCTGCAAGTTATTAAGAAGGTTGGCATTCATTAATTAAATATGTGTACTAGGATGCTGATATTTGGCATGGATGTTCCTTTGGGCTATACTTTTGACTTTTGACATAGTAAAGGCACAACTAAATTTATTTTTTTTGACAAGTTTTGATCTTAACATTAAAAGCATATCAGCACCACAAACAGTATTTTATTTCTTATGTTTTTATGGCTCCTATGGGGTATATAATTAGTTTAGTGAATTGAAAATTAAAATATAAGAATATTAATTGTGGTTCTTATATACCACTTTATCACTACCTAGGTCGTAGGTCGTCTCAAAGCGGTTCACAAATTATTATCCCTAGTTAAAAGGCCTTTGCAACCAGCCAATATCTTTCTCAACTACCTGGGGAGCATACAGCCAGTGCTGCCATTTCAGTGCCCACATCTAGCTCTTCAATTCCCGCACTGCTCAACCACATACTCATTTACAGCTGAGTAGCTATAGATTTGAACAAGCGGAGTCAAGTATCTTGCTCAAAGATATAAAACAGTGCCGTGTCTATATAATATATATATAATCCATATTATAATTACATTGTATGTAAATTTAATTTCCCAGTTTATGTCCTTTTTTTGACAATACATATAAATATGTATAGGCTGGTGAAAAACATATTTAATGTTATAAGGTAATCACCATAAATATCTCCCAAGGAGCTAAAAATGGCTTAAAGGGGGACATTTGTTAGCTTGATAAAATATGATAGAAAAAATAACAACTTCAGTCAGTTGTTATCACCAAAGGACATTATCAACACTTCAGTGTGGATGGAGCTTTGAAAATAAAAGTGTTCATCGATATCTGCTTCATGCTTCACAAGAAGTCGTTATCACCAGTCATTAATCTCTCTGCTTTAACGTGTAAGTACTATTAATCATTGATCCGGCCTGGTCCGTTCTGGGAAGGAGTCTTAATTTTTATTGTTTCAATTCTTCCCAAAAAAGGGGGAGGGGCGTTTATAGGGGGGGGGGATGCTAATTATGGGGAATACAATGATCAGTTTTGGTTTGAATAATTAATTTATGGCCAACATGGTAAACAGCAACATGTACTGAAGAAGCTACAGATGAAGATTTTAATAAGCACAGTGTTCTTCCTTTACATATTGTACCTCTGAATGGGATGTACACAACTATCAAGTGTATATGTATACTTGTAGGTAAAAATCCAACATTTAATAAAAGCCATATACCTACAAGTGACTGAAGTTTGGGAGCACTCATGATGTTAGCTTGTGTAATCTCATAGTTAATTTGAATTATAAAAAAAAGTATCATTCAAAAATGAACTATTTGCATTTCTAAAATAAAGTATTTGTGATTTTGTAGAATGACTTCCACTACGAGTTCACTGGGTGTGACAGTAATGGTGGACGGTGGCGTGTGTCTGTCCCAGAACCAGACAAGTGTGAAGGTGGGGCTCCACCACCTCCTGTCAGGGGCAAAGACTGCAGTAAGTACCCACATCACAGTCGGGGGGCAAAGACTGCAATTAGTACCCACATCACAGTCAGGGGGCAAAGACTGCAGTAATTACCCTCAACACAGTCAGGGGGCAAAGACTGCAGTAAGTACCCACATCACAGTCAGGGGACAAAGACTGCAGTAAGTACCCACATCACAGTCAGGGGTCAAAGACTGCAGTAAGTACCCACATCACAGTCAGGGGGCAAAGACTGCAGTAAGTACCCACATCACAGTCAGGGGGCAAAGACTGCAGTAAGTACCCACATCACAGTCAGGGGGCAAAGACTGCAGTAAGTACCCACATCACAGTCAGGGGGCAAAGACTGCAGTAAGTACCCACATCACAGTCAGGGGGCAAAGACTGCAGTAAGTACCCACATCACAGTCAGGGGGCAAAGACTGCAGTAAGTACCCACATCACAGTCAGGGGGCAAAGACTGCAGTAAGTACCCACATCACAGTCAGGGGGCAAAGACTGCAGTAAGTACCCACATCACAGTCAGGGGGCAAAGACTGCAGTAAGTACCCACATCACAGTCAGGGGGCAAAGACTGCAGTAAGTACCCACATCACAGTCAGGGGGCAAAGACTGCAGTAAGTACCCACATCACAGTCAGGGGGCAAAGACTGCAGTAAGTACCCACATCACAGTCAGGGGGCAAAGACTGCAGTAAGTACCCACATCACAGTCAGGGGGCAAAGACTGCAGTAAGTACCCACATCACAGTCAGGGGGCAAAGACTGCAGTAAGTACCCACATCACAGTCAGGGGGCAAAGACTGCAGTAAGTACCCACATCACAGTCAGGGGGCAAAGACTGCAGTAAGTACCCACATCACAGTCAGGGGGCAAAGACTGCAGTAAGTACCCACATCACAGTCAGGGGGCAAAGACTGCAGTAAGTACCCACATCACAGTCAGGGGGCAAAGACTGCAGTAAGTACCCACATCACAGTCAGGGGGCAAAGACTGCAGTAAGTACCCACATCACAGTCAGGGGGCAAAGACTGCAGTAAGTACCCACATCACAGTCAGGGGGCAAAGACTGCAGTAAGTACCCACATCACAGTCAGGGGGCAAAGACTGCAGTAAGTACCCACATCACAGTCAGGGGGCAAAGACTGCAGTAAGTACCCACATCACAGTCAGGGGGCAAAGACTGCAGTAAGTACCCACATCACAGTCAGGGGGCAAAGACTGCAGTAAGTACCCACATCACAGTCAGGGGGCAAAGACTGCAGTAAGTACCCACATCACAGTCAGGGGGCAAAGACTGCAGTAAGTACCCACATCACAGTCAGGGGGCAAAGACTGCAGTAAGTACCCACATCACAGTCAGGGGGCAAAGACTGCAGTAAGTACCCACATCACAGTCAGGGGGCAAAGACTGCAGTAAGTACCCACATCACAGTCAGGGGGCAAAGACTGCAGTAAGTACCCACATCACAGTCAGGGGGCAAAGACTGCAGTAAGTACCCACATCACAGTCAGGGGGCAAAGACTGCAGTAAGTACCCACATCACAGTCAGGGGGCAAAGACTGCAGTAAGTACCCACATCACAGTCAGGGGGCAAAGACTGCAGTAAGTACCCACATCACAGTCAGGGGGCAAAGACTGCAGTAAGTACCCACATCACAGTCAGGGGGCAAAGACTGCAGTAAGTACCCACATCACAGTCAGGGGGCAAAGACTGCAGTAAGTACCCACATCACAGTCAGGGGGCAAAGACTGCAGTAAGTACCCACATCACAGTCAGGGGGCAAAGACTGCAGTAAGTACCCACATCACAGTCAGGGGGCAAAGACTGCAGTAAGTACCCACATCACAGTCAGGGGGCAAAGACTGCAGTAAGTACCCACATCACAGTCAGGGGGCAAAGACTGCAGTAAGTACCCACATCACAGTCAGGGGGCAAAGACTGCAGTAAGTACCCACATCACAGTCAGGGGGCAAAGACTGCAGTAAGTACCCACATCACAGTCAGGGGGCAAAGACTGCAGTAAGTACCCACATCACAGTCAGGGGGCAAAGACTGCAGTAAGTACCCACATCACAGTCAGGGGGCAAAGACTGCAGTAAGTACCCACATCACAGTCAGGGGGCAAAGACTGCAGTAAGTACCCACATCACAGTCAGGGGGCAAAGACTGCAGTAAGTACCCACATCACAGTCAGGGGGCAAAGACTGCAGTAAGTACCCACATCACAGTCAGGGGGCAAAGACTGCAGTAAGTACCCACATCACAGTCAGGGGGCAAAGACTGCAGTAAGTACCCACATCACAGTCAGGGGGCAAAGACTGCAGTAAGTACCCACATCACAGTCAGGGGGCAAAGACTGCAGTAAGTACCCACATCACAGTCAGGGGGCAAAGACTGCAGTAAGTACCCACATCACAGTCAGGGGGCAAAGACTGCAGTAAGTACCCACATCACAGTCAGGGGGCAAAGACTGCAGTAAGTACCCACATCACAGTCAGGGGGCAAAGACTGCAGTAAGTACCCACATCACAGTCAGGGGGCAAAGACTGCAGTAAGTACCCACATCACAGTCAGGGGGCAAAGACTGCAGTAAGTACCCACATCACAGTCAGGGGGCAAAGACTGCAGTAAGTACCCACATCACAGTCAGGGGGCAAAGACTGCAGTAAGTACCCACATCACAGTCAGGGGGCAAAGACTGCAGTAAGTACCCACATCACAGTCAGGGGGCAAAGACTGCAGTAAGTACCCACATCACAGTCAGGGGGCAAAGACTGCAGTAAGTACCCACATCACAGTCAGGGGGCAAAGACTGCAGTAAGTACCCACATCACAGTCAGGGGGCAAAGACTGCAGTAAGTACCCACATCACAGTCAGGGGGCAAAGACTGCAGTAAGTACCCACATCACAGTCAGGGGGCAAAGACTGCAGTAAGTACCCACATCACAGTCAGGGGGCAAAGACTGCAGTAAGTACCCACATCACAGTCAGGGGGCAAAGACTGCAGTAAGTACCCACATCACAGTCAGGGGGCAAAGACTGCAGTAAGTACCCACATCACAGTCAGGGGGCAAAGACTGCAGTAAGTACCCACATCACAGTCAGGGGGCAAAGACTGCAGTAAGTACCCACATCACAGTCAGGGGGCAAAGACTGCAGTAAGTACCCACATCACAGTCAGGGGGCAAAGACTGCAGTAAGTACCCACATCACAGTCAGGGGGCAAAGACTGCAGTAAGTACCCACATCACAGTCAGGGGGCAAAGACTGCAGTAAGTACCCACATCACAGTCAGGGGGCAAAGACTGCAGTAAGTACCCACATCACAGTCAGGGGGCAAAGACTGCAGTAAGTACCCACATCACAGTCAGGGGGCAAAGACTGCAGTAAGTACCCACATCACAGTCAGGGGGCAAAGACTGCAGTAAGTACCCACATCACAGTCAGGGGGCAAAGACTGCAGTAAGTACCCACATCACAGTCAGGGGGCAAAGACTGCAGTAAGTACCCACATCACAGTCAGGGGGCAAAGACTGCAGTAAGTACCCACATCACAGTCAGGGGGCAAAGACTGCAGTAAGTACCCACATCACAGTCAGGGGGCAAAGACTGCAGTAAGTACCCACATCACAGTCAGGGGGCAAAGACTGCAGTAAGTACCCACATCACAGTCAGGGGGCAAAGACTGCAGTAAGTACCCACATCACAGTCAGGGGGCAAAGACTGCAGTAAGTACCCACATCACAGTCAGGGGGCAAAGACTGCAGTAAGTACCCACATCACAGTCAGGGGGCAAAGACTGCAGTAAGTACCCACATCACAGTCAGGGGGCAAAGACTGCAGTAAGTACCCACATCACAGTCAGGGGGCAAAGACTGCAGTAAGTACCCACATCACAGTCAGGGGGCAAAGACTGCAGTAAGTACCCACATCACAGTCAGGGGGCAAAGACTGCAGTAAGTACCCACATCACAGTCAGGGGGCAAAGACTGCAGTAAGTACCCACATCACAGTCAGGGGGCAAAGACTGCAGTAAGTACCCACATCACAGTCAGGGGGCAAAGACTGCAGTAAGTACCCACATCACAGTCAGGGGGCAAAGACTGCAGTAAGTACCCACATCACAGTCAGGGGGCAAAGACTGCAGTAAGTACCCACATCACAGTCAGGGGGCAAAGACTGCAGTAAGTACCCACATCACAGTCAGGGGGCAAAGACTGCAGTAAGTACCCACATCACAGTCAGGGGGCAAAGACTGCAGTAAGTACCCACATCACAGTCAGGGGGCAAAGACTGCAGTAAGTACCCACATCACAGTCAGGGGGCAAAGACTGCAGTAAGTACCCACATCACAGTCAGGGGGCAAAGACTGCAGTAAGTACCCACATCACAGTCAGGGGGCAAAGACTGCAGTAAGTACCCACATCACAGTCAGGGGGCAAAGACTGCAGTAAGTACCCACATCACAGTCAGGGGGCAAAGACTGCAGTAAGTACCCACATCACAGTCAGGGGGCAAAGACTGCAGTAAGTACCCACATCACAGTCAGGGGGCAAAGACTGCAGTAAGTACCCACATCACAGTCAGGGGGCAAAGACTGCAGTAAGTACCCACATCACAGTCAGGGGGCAAAGACTGCAGTAAGTACCCACATCACAGTCAGGGGGCAAAGACTGCAGTAAGTACCCACATCACAGTCAGGGGACAAAGACTGCAGTAAGTACCCACATCACAGTCAGGGGTCAAAGACTGCAGTAAGTACCCACATCACAGTCAGGGGACAAATACTGCAGTAAGTATCCACATTACAGTCAGGGGACAAAGACTGCAGTAAGTACCCACATCACAGTCAGGGGGCAAAGACTGCGGTAAGTACCCACATCACAGTCAGGGGGTAAAGACTGCAGTAAGTACCCACATCACAGTCAGGGGGCAAAGACTGCAGTAAGTACCCACATCACAGTCAGGGGGCAAAGATACTCCCATAACATGAGAGGCCGCTGGTCGGCCTTTTTTCAATCGGATATGATTTTGCCGACTGCGACCTTTCATTTCTGAAGCACTAATTCTTTGATGCAGTTTCCGCCCGAAATTCGGGCGGGACAAAATAGGCTTGAAAAACTCACATAAGTGGTTAACAGTTCATGACAACGATGTCTACTCACGGTTTATATAATATAGATCTCATATATATGTCACAGACACAAATGTATAGTATATTACAGAATAGAACACTCAAAATACATGTCCATGTCGTTGTAGCACATCTCTGACCGACATTTTAAAACATGGCTTCTGGATTAATACAAAATATCAGGGGGGATTTCAAACGGAACGAAATAATACGGAGTTTGTTTGTATTCCGCTTGTTAAACCTAACATGTAATCCATTTTTGTATTAACCGGAAAAATCATGGCAAATGCTGTCTGCTTCGCTTCGAATGAGGAAAAACTCATCATTTATGTCTTTGACATGAAATTTTTCTCATATAATCATGGATTTATGGAAAGGAATATTTATTGGACCCCTTTGACCATTTAAATGTATGAAAACACGATATACTCTTTCTTAATCCGAACTTTGAAAGTAATTACACTCAAGACAGTCAGGGGGCAAAGACTGCAGTAAGTACCCACATTGTAGTCAGGGGACAAAGACTGCAGTAAGTTCCCACATCACAGTCAGGGGGAAAAGACTGCAGTAAGTACCCACATCACAGGCAGGGGAAAAAAGAATGCAGTAAGTACCCACATCACAGTCAGGGGGCAAAGACTGTAGTAAGTACTCACATCACAGTCAAGGGGCAAAGACTGCAGTAAGTACCCACATTACCGTCAGGGGACAAAGACTGCAGTAAGTACCCACATCACAGTCAGGGGAAAAAAGAATGCAGTAAGTACCCACATCACAGTCAGGGGACAAAGACTGCAGTAAGTACCCACATCACAATCAGGGGGCAAATACTGCAGTAAGTACCCACATCACTCCAGATACTTATCAGTTTGGGACAAGAACTGTTTGTTAGTACATTATTAGGGAAGGGAAATGTAGTAAGCACCTAGCTAAAACCCTGTCAAGGGGACAACTGTAATAAAATAAAGACCCACAACTCTGTTAGAGGTACTTCACATGTACCAATTGCAACAAACCTTTCAGAGGAGATAACTTGTCAAGGACCTAGCTACAACCTTATCAGGGGAGCCCAGTGTCCGTCCGTCTGTCTGTCCGTCAACTTTTCCTTTAAAATGCTACTTGTCCTGAACTTTTTTGACTAAATTTTGTATGGAGCATCATTTGGCCAAGGGGACTCAATTTTGTAATCTTTAAAATCTTTCTTCTTCGAGACTTTTCCATTGGAGGGATTTTATGTAATAAGAATAATTTCCAATGGTTGCTTTATTATCCAGGTGATCGCTACAGGTCCTCTGAACCTCTTGTTGTAAACTACTAACAATCCCTTATACTCAGCCAGGGAACAAAATTGTAGTAAGTACAAACAACCCATTATACCCAGTCAGGGGACTTAACTGAAGTAAGTACCCACATCCCTGTCAGGGGGAGAACTTTTGTAAGTACCTACAAACCTGTGAGGGGAAATAACTATATTTATTTTATGTTTAATCTTCCTTCAGAATTTACCTGTGATGCTGGCCAGTTCCTGAACATGACAGACCAAGTATGTAATCCCTGCCCCCCAGGCACTTACTCCCTTGGGGGTGGAGCTCGCTTTGATGAATGGGACAAGATACCCCAAGGCTTCACTGCAGATGTAGACAATTTCCTCGACTCAATTGTACCAGGAAAGGACCACATCAACTGTACGGAGTAAGTAACACCCTGTCTCATACATGTAGTCATGTTTTATCAGTTTCCTTGAATCGATTGTACCAGGAAAGGACCACATCAACTGTACACAGTAAGTAACACCCTATCTCATACATGTAGGTAGGTTTTTTCAGTTTCCTTGACTCGATTGTACCAGGAAAGGACCAAATCAACTGTACACAGTATGTAACACTCTGTCTCATACATGTTGGTAGGTTTTATCAGTTTCCTTGAATCGATTGTACCAGGAAAGAACCACATCAACTGTACGGAGTAAGTAACACTCTGTCTCATACATGTTGGTAGGTTTTATCGGTTTCCTTGAATCGATTGTACCAGGAAAGAACCACATCAACTGTACGGAGTAAGTAACACCCTGTCTCATACATGTAGGTAGGTTTTATCGGTTTCCTTGAACCGATTGTACCAGGAAAGGACCACATCAACTGTACGGAGTAAGTAACACCCTGTCTCTTACATGTAGGTAGGTTTTATCGGTTTCCTTGAACCGATTGTACCAGGAAAGGACCACGTCAACTGTACGGAGTAAGTAACACTCTGTCTCATACATGTTGGTAGGGTTTATCGGTTTCCTTGAATCGATTGTACCAGGAAAGAACCACATCAACTGTACGGAGTAAGTAACACCCTGTCTCATACACGTAGGTAGGTTTTATCGGTTTCCTTGAACCGATTGTACCCGGAAAGGACCACATCAACTGTACGGAGTAAGTAACCCTCTGGCTCATACATGTAGGTAGGTTTTATCAGTTTCCTAGACTCAGTTGTACCAGGAAAGGACCACATCAACTGTACGGAGTAAGTAACCCCCTGTCTCATACATGTAGGTAGGTTTTATCGGTTTCCTTGACCCGATTGTACCAGGAAAGCACCACATCAACTGTAAAGAGTAGGTAACACCCTGTCTCATACATGTAGGTAGGGTTTATCAGTTTCCTAGACTCGATTGTACCAGGAAAGAACCACATCAACTGTACGGAGTAAGTAACACCCTGTCTCTTACATGTAGGTAGGTTTTATCGGTTTCCTTGAACCGATTGTACCAGGAAAGGACCACATCAACTGTACACAGTATGTAACACCCCGTCTCATACATGTAGGTAGGTTTTATCGGTTTCCTTGACTCGATTGTACCAGGAGAGCACCACATCAACTGTACACAGTATGTAACACCCTGTCTCATACATGTAGGTAGGTTTTATCGGTTTCCTTGACTCGATTGTACCAGGAAAGCACCACATCAACTGTACACAGTATGTAACACTCTGTCTCATACATGTAGGTAGGTAGGTTTTATCAGTCAACGTATATGAAGTAGTGAAACGATAAACATTTAAGTTTTCCTAATTATTTGTTTGATGTTACAGCACAGAGTGGAAACCTAAAGGAGAGTTTATAGCCTCTTACCCAGGTCCGTGTTCATCCAACCTGGTGTACTCTGTGACCCTGGTCCAGCCAGGATCTGTGACCTTTGAGTACCAGTACACAGATTCAGCGTCCATGTTCCAGTTCAAGGTGATTATAATAAGCTGTTTCCATTTTCTGACTGAAAAACTTTTTGACCAATTCGATCAGCCTTTTTCATTCTTTGGAACTTTGTGACCAATTTGATGAGCTGTTTCTATTCTTTGTCAGCTTACTGACCACTTTGATGAGCTGTTTCCATTCTTTGTCAGCTTACTGACCACTTTTATTAGGTGTTTCTATTCTTTGTCAGCATCAGGTTATTTGATACCAGTAGTTCCAATCTGTATTAATTAACCACATTGTCTAGACATGTGATTAGAAAACATGTAGTCTGGTATGTATGTACTTATTCACAAATAATTACACACACTTAAAGATACAAAATAGTTATCTTTAGATTTGAAAGATGAATGTAATCTAAGAATATTTGATAACTGTAGGTTTTCTTATAGAGTAATATATTATTTGTTTAATTTCTGGCGTATGTTCTATTATTAATTAACATGTTACATGGACTCCCTCATATTTTATTGACATTTGATGTATATATATATATTGTTGACATTGTTTACAGGTACAGAACGACCAGTGTCAGTCTGTAGCTGACCAGGAAGCAAGCAGCTGGCCTGGACCAACTAAAGAGGGCGAGTTCAAACAAATAAATGTACGTAGCCGACAAGTGACTTTAGTACTGTTGCCCTACCCTAGACCCATCCAGGGATACTGTTGCCCTACCCTAGACCCATCCAGGGATACTGTTGCCCAACCTTAGACCCATCTAGGGATACTGTTGCCCTACCCTAGACCCATCCAGGGATACTGTTGCCCTACCATAGCCCCATCTAGGGATACTGTTGCCCTACCCTAAACCCATCCAGGGATACTGTTGCCCTACCACTAGACCCATCCAGGGATACTGTTGCCCTACCCTAGACCCATCTAGGGATACTGTTGCCCTACCCTAGTCCCATCTAGGGATACTGTTGCCCTAGCCTAGTCCCATCTAGGGATACTCTCGTCCTACCCAAGACCCATCGAGGGATACTGTTGCCCTACCATAGCCCCATATAGGGAGTAGCTAATGCCCTTCCCATAGACCCATCTAGGGATACTGTAAATAGGGATAAAACCTTTAAAATCCTTCTTCTACCACAGGTCTCAGTTTTGTATAATTGGTGGGTCCCTAGGGGCATAGGGATGGGGCTCTGTTTGAATTTTGTTCTCGCTATATCTCAAGTACTGGATGGATCTTTCTGAAATTTCATATGTACTTACAGCACCTACCATCTAGTGCTATATCTTAACTTCATACTAATATTTTAAACATATTCAGGTGAGCAATACAGGCCCTCTGGGCCTCTTGTTCTTACTTAACATATCTAGACTTGTCTACCAATACCATTGCCAATTTTTGTGTCGCCTGCAACGCATATAGGTATTACTTTGTCGGCTTCATCGGTTGCATCGTCCGAAACTAGGTTTCCGTGTGCTAACTTGAGATACCTTGGGTTGGTTGAACTCAAACTTGATACACATATTACATACCAATATAGCTCAGACAAGATCGCTTTTCAGAAGTTAACGTACATATTTGGTGGAGTTATGCCCCTTTTATTGTCAAATAAGGGCATTCATTGTGTAGTAAATGCAAGAACTTTTTTATTATTTAATCAATTCCTTTCAAATTGTGTACAGTAATGCTAGAAGCAATAATGTTCGACATATATTGCAGGTTTTTCTGTCGAGTTTCAACTTTCCGCGTTTTGGCATATCTGTTTACACGATAACTCAAGTCGAAACACTTTTCTTACTAAAAGCGCTGAGCAGGCGACACATCCACTCGCGTGGAATTGTTGTGGTTTCATTATATAGTAGCTTACTACCCAATTATACATACATCACATGTATGTAGAAAGAAACATGTACAGGAGCAAATGTTTGACCAACACAGGCTTTTCAGTAACTTCCATTTGAACAGACCAAATAACATTTTTATCTTGCCAAGTTAGTAAAAAAAAAGGTATATTACATGATATTTATAAGAAAACAGTTATTAAAACAGATCTGAACCAGTCATTTTGGCCAACTGCCTGTTAATGAAAACTCTGCCAACCTATCTATTCTATGTAACCTCAATTACACCTTGGGCAACATGATTACATGTGTATGGTAGATGCTTTTGTTGAATTGTAGCTGGTTCTGAAAACTGGACTGAATGTGATTATTTGGAGGACCATGGGGCTAAACATTGGAGATACGAAGACAAAATACAAACCTGTTATGATTCGCAAGATCGAGGTGACAGGTAAGTTTTTAATGGAAACTTCAAAGTAAATTAGTTATATTTTTTGTATTGAATTATATTTGTGTTACTGAAATATTATATTCAAATATTTCCTAAATACACATTAAGCGTATATAAATTTCTTTTAACTCATTCACCCCTGAAATTTCATAATGAACTATTCCAACCTTTTAACTGGAAGAGTTTAAGTGTATCTTAAGATGTGAATGAGTTAATAAAACACACTTATACATGTTTTTGATTGATTTGATGATTTCACTGAATTTGTCTCCTTCCCCTTGTAACTTATAGTCTGGGAATTACTGTAACGATATTTATAGCTTGTTTTCCTTGCTCAACAATTAAATCTATTCTCTCTACCCCAGGTGTGGCCTACACGTCAGAGTGTACCAAGTGTCGTGCTGGTACACACAGCTCTAAAGAGGGCGCTCAGTTCTGTACCCCGTGTGATGTCAACACCTTTTCAGAACGTGGTGCAGCCCAATGCAATCCCTGTGATGCTGCAACTCTGTATTCTCGTAAGTTGATGGCTGTGATCAATTCTTGAATCCAGGATTTCAGACTAAATCAATATTGATAAGACAAAGTGAAAACTGCACATGTCAGTATTTTAGATTATAACCTAGAGGTAAAAGTTTGAAAAGATTTTTGAAGGTTCAATCGTAAGGACACAATTCATCTTGATAGGTCTTGACCGGTCGAAATTGGAGCATATTATATTATTTTGCTATTCAACTGTTTGACAACTAGTCCACAGTTTTAATAAAAAATATTTTAAGATTTATTGGTAGTTCAATCAGAATGCTTCACTCAATACAATACAGTGAAGCCCCCACTTACTCAAACACAACCCCCACCTATCCCCTCCCCGCATCTGTCACTTGGTCTCGACCATGTTATTATACATTCTTTGTTAAGCAAGTCAGATAACTCAAACTGCCATTGCTCAAATGCCCTGTGTTCCCCGAAGTCTCCAAGTTGGTATATATTCTGTAGTTTTGTGTCGTAAGATGTGATATACTCTGTTACAGGGAAGGGAGCCAGTAAATGCCTAGCCAGGCCTGTCTGTACAGATAGAGATTACTATGAGACCCAGGCACCATGTAACAGTGAACAGAAGGTAAGAACAGTAGATAAAGTATCCCAGAGTAACAGCAGACAGAAGGTAAGAACAGTAGATAAAGTATCCCAGAGTAACAGCAAACAGAAGATAAAGACAGTAGATAAAGTATCCCAGAGTAACAGAAGACAGAAGGTAAGAATAGTACATAAAGTATCCCAGAGTAACAGCAAACAGAAGATAAAGACAGTAGATAAAGTATCCCAGAGTAACAGCAGACAGAAGATAAAGATAGTAGATAAAATATCCCAGAGTAACAGCAGGCAGAAGGTAAGAATAGTACATAAAGTATCCCAGAGTAACAGCAAACAGAAGATAAAGACAGTAGATAAAGTATCCCAGAGTAACAGCAGACAGAAGATAAAGATAGTAGATAAAGTATCCCAGAGTAACAGCAGACAGAAGGTAAAGTATCCCAGAGTAACAGTGAACAGGAGGTAAGAACAGTAGATAAAGGGTCCCACAGAAACAGCAAACAGAAGGCTTGAACAGTAGGATTCCAAAGTAATAGTAAACAGAGCAGAAGGTAAGAACAGTAGATAAATGATCCTACTGTAATGGTAAACAGAAGGTAAGAACAGTAGATAAATGATCCTACGGTAATGGTAAACAGAAGGTAAAAACAGTAGATAAATGATCCTACTGTAATGGTAAACAGAACAGAAGGTAAGAACATTAGATAAATGATCCTACTGTAATGGTAAACAGAAGGTAAGAACAGTAGATAAATGATCCTACTGTAATGGTAAACAGAACAGAAGGTAAGAATATTAGATAAATGATCCTACTGTAATGGTAAACAGAACAGAAGGTAAGAACATTATATAAATGATCCTACTGTAATGGTAAACAGAAGGTAAAAACAGTAGAAGCCAAAGAATAAACATTGGCTCAAAATTCACCAAACATAAAAGGGAGTATGCTTTACTGGATAAGTACTGGAACTGTAATGTTTTAGCTGTCAGAGCTGGCAAGTTACTGATGTCTCCGATAGTAGGTGATGTTACAAGTGACAGGTTTACTATTACCTAATTGCTTTTTTTTTTTGTCAGACCTACACAGAGTACAAGTGGATCTTGCCGCAGGTATGTCGTGAAAATGATGATGGAGCTGTCAGGCTGCCATCTGAGGGGCCCCCTAGGGACTGTCCACCTTGTAACCCTGGACATGAGTATGTAAATGGGGTCTGCCAGGTGTGTGGGGACAACAAGTACTCCGACGGCTCAGGCTTGTGTAAACTCTGTCCTGCATCTACCTCTCCCACCTACGGCATTGAATACAAATGGTGGAATGAGATGCCTGTCAACATGTCCTCCGAATGTATCACATTCACAGGTAAGAAAAAAACATAACACAAAAATTCTACTTAGAATATTCCTAATTTCTCCGTGTATTTGTCATTTTTGGAATTATTGATATGCGTACAAATAATTTTGGTGTTTTATCATCCATAGAGTCGGAGTGTGAGTCAGAGTCGCGGTGGATGGTAGCAGGGGGCCATGTCCACACTCACTACGGCCGTGGTGATGATGCTTACCTGATACTACTCCTCAAAGTCGGAGGATTCCGTACCAATGGGGCCAGCATGGACGGAGAGATTGCTAGAATCGAGTTTGTGTTTGAGACCAACTGTACCGGAAAATGTGAATTCATCTTCTTGTCGGTAAGATCCTATACACTACTTATATTTAATTACTCTAAATTTTAAGCAAAAAGAACAAATAATAATCTATATTAAAAAGCAGATAAATTACTTAAGATAAATCAGATATTTTATGCATAATCTATTTGGCAATACAAAAAACATAACATGAATGTAGGCAATTTTTCTTCTTCACATTGTATTCCCCAATATCCTAAATATATCCAAAATGGTTTAATCATGCTTAAAAAATTGTTTGTGAGATTGAAACCTCAACTTCAAGAAACCACACTCTGAATTGTGCCTGACCCAGAAGCTGAGTTAAGTTGTAAATATAATATATAATACCACTGTCACACGAGATATTACCTGGATTAGGATGTAAACTGTCACACGAGATATTACCTGGATTATGATGTAAACTGTCACACAAGATATTACCTGGATTAGGATATAAACTGATAAACAAGATTTTACCTGGATTATGTAGTAATATGTTCTCTGGTTTTCACAGGATGATACTGGTCACAGCACCATTATCAATACATGGGAGGGCAATCAACAGAAAACCAAATACAAGTGAGTATTATCAGGATTTATTGACTTCTTTTTTCATTTCTCTAAGTTATGTATATTAGATTTTCTGCAATTTGTGAACCAAACTCTATCATAAACAAATGTGTTTCTCCATAATAAATGTACTACTGCTATAGAGACATTACAGGTACAAAACATTTGTGGAAGCTTATATAATTACTTCATTAAAGATATATTATGTACAACCTTATTATACCTTTATGCAGGAAGACCCACTTTCAAATTAATATTTCAGTAATAAAACATGTGTATTTTAACTCCGCCATGGAAGTCTTCGCCATGGTTCACCAGAAAACATCAGATCACTAGATCTGTCCCTGTTTTATAATACTTCTGGTCTAACATGTTGGTACACGATATAAAATATATGTAACTGTAAAATATTTTAAACTATACTAGAAAAGAATTAATACGTACAATGTTGATGGATTTCTGATTGTTAAATGTGTTCTGTTGGTCCTTAGATATTCTATACACTCTGCCGATCCCATCACGTTCACCTGGGCATTTGAACACTCGGACTGGACAATTGAAGACACAGACCAGACCAGAGAGAAATTTGTGAACGATGTGGCAAAGATCTACAGCATCAAAGTAACCAACACATTACAAGGTGGCGCCTCCGGCTGTCAGAAGTGTCCAAAAGGCCTGGCTCTGAATGGACAGAGCGGGTAAGTCGTAGGATTTATGTGGCTATAGTGAACCTGTATTTTGTCACAATTATAACACCTCGAATGGCAGTAAATTGTCTTCAGTGATTCTATGGTTTTAAATAGATCTATATTTACTATCTGATCTTGTACAAGCACTGTACTGTTTTAATACTGATCTGTTTCTTGAGTGGTAATTTTGCTTTTAAAATACATGTTGTTATGAATTAATTTGATGTAATTCAATATTCTTGATATTAACTGCAGTGTTTTCAAAGGAAGGAATTTGTGAAGTTGAAGAAAAATCTGAACTTTAAGGAAATGTTTATTTAAACTTCATATACAGCTTTCCTATTAAAAAACTTAAGCAAAGGGACGTGTGAAACTGTTTATTCCTTGCTTTCCTGTTTATTTGTTAATTATTGTACTTATTTCATACTGTTCTACAATTGTTCAGCTGTGTACCCTGCCCTGCGGGACACTACATCGACGTCAACGACACATCATGTAAGCCCTGTCCACCAAACACAGTCATTCCTAATGGTTACTCCTGGGGTCCGGAGTCCTGTGTGAAATGTGGGGATGGGCTGCGTGCTGTTGAAGGTCAGCGGTGTGAGACAGACTGTATGTACCGTGACCAGGACGGACGGGAGTACGACTTCTCCTCACTCGCCGGGTATGTCATGTTACAATTCCTTACAATATGATGTGAATATCTCTGTCAGATGATTTTCGTATTTGTTTCCGAGTATTTTTGAACGAGAATGAAAAGTGGTCCTGTTGGGCAGTTTTATTTTATCTTCTCTCATAATCCATGTTGTGTTGTCTCCAGGCCCAAGCTCATCCAGGGTAGCCATCTGTTCACTGGTACAGGGACCCAGTACTACCACGGCTTCAACATCAGTCTGTGTGGCTCCCGGGACACTATGGCCATCTGTCGTAACAATGTCAGCTCATCAGACAGTAAGGTAACAGCCTAACAACACACAGTATATACTAGTATACAAAGAGGTCTGTTGCTTTCTTTAACTGTAATTAAACACTGTAAACATTTATTTATAGAGGTAATCTTATTTTAGCAGTAATCTCATTTTAGCTATTTCCCCGTTTAGATAGTGTTCTAAGTTAGGTTTACGATAAATTGAAGCTCCTTTCTTTTGCATATTTTGTGGGTATGCCAATTCATCAATGTGCTAATCTGAAAACTTGAAAGCATTAAAATTTGATAAAATTTGATAAGGGCTAAAATTTGAGTGCACTAAAATAGGTACATTAATTTTACAGTTGTAGATATAGGATAATGTTTGCTATATGGTGGTTTTAAACCAGTTCCGATTAGTTCCTTTTAACATAATCTATATATAACTTGTTCACCCCTTTGTGCCTTTAGTAGACTCTGCATTTGTATTGACATGGATGAGTCCGTTATGGTCTACAGTGGTGAAAGGGTTAATGAGGAAGATGAGCAAGATCTGCATATATAGTTAAAGTATTAAAGATACTTGTTTGTGGTGAAAATCTGTAAAAAATGTTTTGATATTATACTTTTGTTGATCATGATCCAGTAAGACCAATTTCTGTTTTGTAGAGGTTGAAAATTCATCAGACCTCGGCAATGGTGTGTAGAACTACACTGGTACCGGACCGTGATAGTGGCACAGTGGTATCAACCCAGCCAGTCAGGTAAATGTGGCTACACTCAAGGGCTTATCTCCCTTTGGTTGTCTCGTACGATAGTATAGAAGGATGCAGATATTTATACCCCCGCAATGAAGTTAGGGGGGGTATACTGGAATCACCCTGTCTGGATGTCTGGATGTCTGTCTGGATGTCTGGATGTCTGGATGTTGTCCGCAGTAACTTGTCCGGAAAACTCCTCCTTAATTAACAGGTGGATTTCATTGAAACTTTGCATGAATGATCGGTATCTTATGTAGTTTTGCACCGGCATTTTAATTTGGGATTTCAACCCTTTTTGATGTAGTTATGTCCCTTAGTGCAAAATACTTGTCCATGTAACTCCTCCTTAACTAAAAGGTGGATTTCATTGAAACCTTGCATGAATGATCGGTATCTTATGTTGTTGTGCACTGGCATTTTAATTTGGGATATCCGACCCTTTTTGATGGAGTTATGCCCCTTTGTGCGAAATACTTGTTTATTTTTTTGTTATTTTAATTTTGTTTTTAATAATTCTATATATATATAAAATAGTGATTACCATAACTCATTACTGGTGGGAGACTATACTATAAGTAAGCCTTTAGCTTACAGTTCTGGTTTATATAGGAGCGGGGGTATTAGTAAACCTTTGGCTTACAGTTCTGGTTTATATAGGAGCGGGGGTATTAGTAAACCTTTGGCTTACAGTTCTGGTTTATATAGGAGCGGGGGTATTAGTAAACCTTTGGCTTACAGTTCTAGTTTATATAGGAGCGGGGGTATTAGTAAACCTTTGGCTTACAGTTCTGGTTTATATAGGAGCGGGGGTATTAGTAAACCTTTGGCTTACAGTTCTAGTTTATATAGGAGCGGGGGTATTAGTAAACCTTTGGCTTACAGTTCTAGTTTATATAGGAGCGGGGGTATTAGTAAACCTTTGGCTTACAGTTCTAGTTTATATAGGAGCGGGGGTATTAGTAAACCTTTGGCTTACAGTTCTAGTTTATATAGGAGCGGGGGTATTAGTAAACCTTTGGCTTACAGTTCTAGTTTATATAGGAGCGGGGGTATTAGTAAACCTTTGGCTTACAGTTCTAGTTTATATAGGAGCGGGGGTATTAGTAAACCTTTGGCTTACAGTTCTAGTTTATATAGGAGCGGGGGTATTAGTAAACCTTTGGCTTACAGTTCTAGTTTATATAGGAGCGGGGGTATTAGTAAACCTTTGGCTTACAGTTCTAGTTTATATAGGAGCGGGGGTATTAGTAAACCTTTGGCTTACAGTTCTAGTTTATATAGGAGCGGGGGTATTAGTAAACCTTTGGCTTACAGTTCTAGTTTATATAGGAGCGGGGGTATTAGTAAACCTTTGGCTTACAGTTCTAGTTTATATAGGAGCGGGGGTATTAGTAAACCTTTGGCTTACAGTTCTAGTTTATATAGGAGCGGGGGTATTAGTAAACCTTTGGCTTACAGTTCTAGTTTATATAGGAGCGGGGGTATTAGTAAACCTTTGGCTTACAGTTCTAGTTTATATAGGAGCGGGGGTATTAGTAAACCTTTGGCTTACAGTTCTGGTTTATATAGGAGCGGGGGTATTAGTAAACCTTTGGCTTACAGTTCTAGTTTATATAGGAGCGGGGGTATTAGTAAACCTTTGGCTTACAGTTCTGGTTTATATAGGAGCGGGGGTATTAGTAAACCTTTGGCTTACAGTTCTAGTTTATATAGGAGCGGGGGTATTAGTAAACCTTTGGCTTACAGTTCTAGTTTTTGATGTTCTAACGTTCATTTGTCTACATTAATGAGAACTGATCAGAACACATTGAAATAAACTGTGATGCATACAAAATAAGATAAGAAAGGAATAGTTGATAAAATCAGATATTGTAAAAATAAAAACGTTTTAAAACTTAGGGGCACATTCGTGTATCCAGTTGAGTTTGTTATTGTTATATATACACTTATCTTGTATTTATCATTTAGTGAGTTAATGTATGTGAATTGTGTTTTAGTGTTGGAGACTCGCTTTACAAGATCGTCAGTAACGTGTCGCTGACCGACATGTACTTGAGGGAGGGATACCAGAAGGATGGTAAGTGTAGATCCAGGGCGCGGTTAAAGATACAACTCTCTCACTGCCCATAGCTCCAGTAAATGTCTGATATGAGAACAGACAGAAACAACACTGTTCCCTAATTCTAATAACTCAGATTAGCCTTGTTATTCTGTTTGATGTCTAAATAACCCGCCCTAAGAGCTAGGGTTGTTTATAATCTACTGAACAGTTAGATCAGAATACATTATAGTCAACGCTTACATTCACGTAATGACTGTTGTAAACTGGAGTTATCATCTCATAGGTCCATTTTGCGTATTCGGTTCAACCAGTTGAAACCATTGAACCTGAAAGAAAACGATGGGCTCAGATTTGAAATGAGGCTGATCTCAGGGTGTGTATCAAGGGGTCCAAGTGCGTTTGTTTATCATGGAATATTTCTGCACCGCCTGATCATGAACTGTTTAAACCAGGATACGCAAATGCGGCCATAACTTTCCCATTAATCATGACAAGTTTTCGTGCCTCAACAACCATTCCACCATTGAGACAAAGTTGTGTGACATGGTACACAGTAGATATAGCCTGTCATTTAAACAAGGCTTACGCAATTTTCAGGCTGTTACTTTTATGGAACCAATCAAATATTAATTAACCTTTTTCACCCCTATGTAACTTTAATTGACTCTACCATGCATTGTTGTGGATGAGTCCATTATGGTATACAGTGGTGATAGAGTTAAGTTGTATGGAAAATGAAGTTTGATTCTGCTGATCAGAATATTTCATTTATTTTATAAAATATTTATGAACCATTCACAGAAATATACTTTAAATAGAAGGAATAGTGCTGTTTTGGTCAGGTTATGAGGTGATAGCTCCAATTTATCATAGTGGGCTTGGTCATCTATTCAATATATATATTCTAGTATAAATAATTTTGATTTCCAATTCAAATTCATCGTTATTTTATAGCTACTCCCTGGAGAAATACATGCCTAATTTTAGCCATTTTGTCCCTTCAGGATCAGAGAATGACATCCATTTTTACTTCAAATCTGAAAAGTAAGTATCATATTGTATTGTGTGTAGTTCCATATGATTTGGTTGGTGACTATTATCAATTAAGTATGCTACATTTGTTAGAATTGTAATATATACCTGCAACAGTAGTGAGGACCTCATTCATGTGTCGCTTATATTTTATGAAATTAGACATTATTTTAATCTATAATGTAAATGACTTATCTCCTCATATAAAGGTATTTAGATATATTTAGCGTACTTACCGGGTAGAAGCCAACACATGTACATGGTGGTATATTAAATGTTGATAAGAGCTTGATAATATTCTTGAAAGTTAATGAAAACTAAGTTATTTCAAAAACAACTAATATTAGATCAAGTTTCTTCTATCAGAATATAGTCTGGTTAAAAGTCCTATACGTTTTTTGTCTACAGATCGAAAGAGAAATGCTCATTAACTATGTTTGTTGTAGATCAACTATTGCCTGCGTGTCGGGTCGGAACACAATTATCTCCCTTCGATGTGACCCGTCCGAGACCAAAGCTGGAACGTTAGAGATGCCGCCCAAGTGTGCAGACGGGACGTGTGATGGTTGTGACTTTCACTTCATGTGGAGAACACAGTCTGCCTGTGCTGTGTGTCGCAAAGAGGACGCAGAGAAGATCATTGGAGAATGTGAGGATGGGGTACAACTTGTACACTTCACTCCACCTGCGTAAGTTAGATACACTTCAAATTAACTGTATACCCACTTCTGTAGTGTACACTTCACTCCATTTAAATTAGTAAGATATACTTCAAATTAACTGTATACCCACTTCTGTAGTGTACACTTCACTCCACCTGCGTAAGTCTGATATACTCACCATAACTATAAAGCTTGTTATTGAGTTTGATGATGTGTTGTTATGTAATGTGGTGAGTTATGCTGTATGCATGTTTTAACTAATAATTAATTATAACTAATCAGTCTTGGCAGTAAATTGATTTCCTTATTCTTATTCAATAGCTTGTTATTATCAAAATTGGCAGTATAATATGTTAATGACTATCTGCAAAAATAACCATACAAAAACAAAACTTGTGCCATTTGTTGAAAATTTATTTTTTTAAATGAAAGAAAAGACTAATACAACACTATGACTCAGTCATGGCTTGACAAAGGCACCAGTCAGTGTTGAAACGTTGCAACATGTTTGATACGTACATTGTTTGTGTATAGAATAAAAATCTGATATAACATATTTCTATACTGATTAATCCTGTAGAGGAAGACCCAATACCAATCAGTGATGTAAATAATCACAGTAAAAAATTCCTGAAAATAAATACAATTAATTCATTATAACATATAAATAAAATTTTGTACAGGTTATATTAATTTGATAATGTGGCTGATGAAATTTTCATTATATTTTCAGAAACTGTGTTTTGAAATCCAAGCTTGAGACAGAAAAGCAGGCGTGTACAGTGAAGCTCTCCGCTCTCCCTTTTGCAGTATGTATACTGTGTTTATATAACCATTGTCTGTGTGGTCAGGTGGTGTAGTGGTTAGTGTACAGTATGTATACTGTGTTTGTATAACCATTGTCTGTGTGGTCAGGTGGTGTAGTGGTTAGTGTACAGTATGTATACTGTGTTTATATAACCAATGTCTGTGTGGTCAGGTGGTGTAGTGGTTAGTGTACAGTATGTATACTGTGTTTGTATAACCATTGTCTGTGTGGTCAGGTGGTGTAGTGGTTAGTGTACAGTATGTATACTGTGTTTATATAACCATTGTCTGTGTGGTCAGGTGGTGTAGTGGTTAGTGTACAGTATGTATACTGTGTTTATATAACCATTGTCTGTGTGGTCAGGTGGTGTAGTGGTTAGTGTACAGTATGTATACTGTGTTTATATAACCATTGTCTGTGTGGTCAGGTGGTGTAGTGGTTAGTGTACAGTATGTATACTGTGTTTATATAACCATTGTCTGTGTGGTCAGGTGGTGTAGTGGTTAGTGTACAGTATGTATACTGTGTTTATATAACCATTGTCTGTGTGGTCAGGTGGTGTAGTGGTTAGTGTACAGTATGTATACTGTGTTTATATAACCATTGTCTGTGTGGTCAGGTGGTGTAGTGGTTAGTGTACAGTATGTATACTGTGTTTATATAACCATTGTCTGTGTGGTCAGGTGGTGTAGTGGTTAGTGTACAGTATGTATACTGTGTTTATATAACCATTGTCTGTGTGGTCAGGTGGTGTAGTGGTTAGTGTACAGTATGTATACTGTGTTTATATAACCATTGTCTGTGTGGTCAGGTGGTGTAGTGGTTAGTGTACAGTATGTATACTGTGTTTATATAACCATTGTCTGTGTGGTCAGGTGGTGTAGTGGTTAGTGTACAGTATGTATACTGTGTTTATATAACCATTGTCTGTGTGGTCAGGTGGTGTAGTGGTTAGTGTACAGTATGTATACTGTGTTTATATAACCATTGTCTGTGTGGTCAGGTGGTGTAGTGGTTAGTGTACAGTATGTATACTGTGTTTATATAACCATTGTCTGTGTGGTCAGGTGGTGTAGTGGTTAGTGTACAGTATGTATACTGTGTTTATATAACCATTGTCTGTGTGGTCAGGTGGTGTAGTGGTTAGTGTACAGTATGTATACTGTGTTTATATAACCATTGTCTGTGTGGTCAGGTGGTGTAGTGGTTAGTGTACAGTATGTATACTGTGTTTATATAACCATTGTCTGTGTGGTCAGGTGGTGTAGTGGTTAGTGTACAGTATGTATACTGTGTTTATATAACCATTGTCTGTGTGGTCAGGTGGTGTAGTGGTTAGTGTACAGTATGTATACTGTGTTTATATAACCATTGTCTGTGTGGTCAGGTGGTGTAGTGGTTAGTGTACAGTATGTATACTGTGTTTATATAACCATTGTCTGTGTGGTCAGGTGGTGTAGTGGTTAGTGTACAGTATGTATACTGTGTTTATATAACCATTGTCTGTGTGGTCAGGTGGTGTAGTGGTTAGTGTACAGTATGTATACTGTGTTTATATAACCATTGTCTGTGTGGTCAGGTGGTGTAGTGGTTAGTGTACAGTATGTATACTGTGTTTATATAACCATTGTCTGTGTGGTCAGGTGGTGTAGTGGTTAGTGTACAGTATGTATACTGTGTTTATATAACCATTGTCTGTGTGGTCAGGTGGTGTAGTGGTTAGTGTACAGTATGTATACTGTGTTTATATAACCATTGTCTGTGTGGTCAGGTGGTGTAGTGGTTAGTGTACAGTATGTATACTGTGTTTATATAACCATTGTCTGTGTGGTCAGGTGGTGTAGTGGTTAGTGTACAGTATGTATACTGTGTTTATATAACCATTGTCTGTGTGGTCAGGTGGTGTAGTGGTTAGTGTACAGTATGTATACTGTGTTTATATAACCATTGTCTGTGTGGTCAGGTGGTGTAGTGGTTAGTGTACAGTATGTATACTGTGTTTATATAACCATTGTCTGTGTGGTCAGGTGGTGTAGTGGTTAGTGTACAGTATGTATACTGTGTTTATATAACCATTGTCTGTGTGGTCAGGTGGTGTAGTGGTTAGTGTACAGTATGTATACTGTGTTTATATAACCATTGTCTGTGTGGTCAGGTGGTGTAGTGGTTAGTGTACAGTATGTATACTGTGTTTATATAACCATTGTCTGTGTGGTCAGGTGGTGTAGTGGTTAGTGTACAGTATGTATACTGTGTTTATATAACCATTGTCTGTGTGGTCAGGTGGTGTAGTGGTTAGTGTACAGTATGTATACTGTGTTTATATAACCATTGTCTGTGTGGTCAGGTGGTGTAGTGGTTAGTGTACAGTATGTATACTGTGTTTATATAACCATTGTCTGTGTGGTCAGGTGGTGTAGTGGTTAGTGTACAGTATGTATACTGTGTTTATATAACCATTGTCTGTGTGGTCAGGTGGTGTAGTGGTTAGTGTACAGTATGTATACTGTGTTTATATAACCATTGTCTGTGTGGTCAGGTGGTGTAGTGGTTAGTGTACAGTATGTATACTGTGTTTATATAACCATTGTCTGTGTGGTCAGGTGGTGTAGTGGTTAGTGTACAGTATGTATACTGTGTTTATATAACCATTGTCTGTGTGGTCAGGTGGTGTAGTGGTTAGTGTACAGTATGTATACTGTGTTTATATAACCATTGTCTGTGTGGTCAGGTGGTGTAGTGGTTAGTGTACAGTATGTATACTGTGTTTATATAACCATTGTCTGTGTGGTCAGGTGGTGTAGTGGTTAGTGTACAGTATGTATACTGTGTTTATATAACCATTGTCTGTGTGGTCAGGTGGTGTAGTGGTTAGTGTACAGTATGTATACTGTGTTTATATAACCATTGTCTGTGTGGTCAGGTGGTGTAGTGGTTAGTGTACAGTATGTATACTGTGTTTATATAACCATTGTCTGTGTGGTCAGGTGGTGTAGTGGTTAGTGTACAGTATGTATACTGTGTTTATATAACCATTGTCTGTGTGGTCAGGTGGTGTAGTGGTTAGTGTACAGTATGTATACTGTGTTTATATAACCATTGTCTGTGTGGTCAGGTGGTGTAGTGGTTAGTGTACAGTATGTATACTGTGTTTATATAACCATTGTCTGTGTGGTCAGGTGGTGTAGTGGTTAGTGTACAGTATGTATACTGTGTTTATATAACCATTGTCTGTGTGGTCAGGTGGTGTAGTGGTTAGTGTACAGTATGTATACTGTGTTTATATAACCATTGTCTGTGTGGTCAGGTGGTGTAGTGGTTAGTGTACAGTATGTATACTGTGTTTATATAACCATTGTCTGTGTGGTCAGGTGGTGTAGTGGTTAGTGTACAGTATGTATACTGTGTTTATATAACCATTGTCTGTGTGGTCAGGTGGTGTAGTGGTTAGTGTACAGTATGTATACTGTGTTTATATAACCATTGTCTGTGTGGTCAGGTGGTGTAGTGGTTAGTGTACAGTATGTATACTGTGTTTATATAACCATCGTCTGTGTGGTCAGGTGGTGTAGTGGTTAGTGTACAGTATGTATACTGTGTTCATATAACCATTGTTCAGGTGGCGTAGTGGTTTGTGCACTTGCCTTTCGCTAAGACAGCTGGGGCGTGAATCCTCAATCAGTCAAAAAAAAATATGGGGTCTTCTGTCCAACCATATAGTTCTTCTACAGGTTCCGTCGTTTCATCCCATAGTTCCCAAGTGCAATTTAATCAGGATCTGCAAAAGGGATTTAATAAAAGTTTACAGCTTGCTTTTAAATTTATTTAATGAATATAATTAGTTTAAGTAGTCGAAAGTTTTTCATATCATTTCAATTCAGTGGGAAACAGCTGTTATGTTCTAGTGGTAATATACGTGTGACTTTATTGCACACATTTTACTTCATGGAATATACATGTACATTACATGTCATGCCACTTAACTTGTTGTTTGAAATTAGAGACCTACGTGGGGCAGTAGCCAGGTACTGGCTGTTAGTCAGTGTTTTTTCTCGGGGAACTCCAGCTTTCCTCCACCGACAAAACCTGACACATCCTTAAATGACCATAGATGTTATTAGGACATAAAACACAAACAAACAAAATGAAATCAGCTTAAAATATTCTAGTACAGTATTAGTTTTCTTGTCAAATTAATGAATTAACTGTGTTTAGAGTTGAAGAATTGTTTCACACTTACAATATAATAAAAATTCAACAAAAAAATATCTTCAATTTTGTAAAATAAAACTGCATAACAAATGAGGAAGTAAGATTTCATATTAAGTATGTAGTAAAATGTAATAATATATAGAATTGTGTTAACAGCTCCAGGTGGCCATACCCATCGCTGCCGCGTTCAGTCTACTGATGCTCCTGGTTGTCATGTACTGCTGGCATAAAAACAGAGGGTAACTTTTATTTGTACAACCTTTTTACCTCTCTGAAGGTCTTAAACATACTAGAATCTCAACAGTATATAGCGCCTGTTACTGGAGTGAAGTTCAGCATTGTGAGGATATCACCATGGCCAGGATTGTTTGGCCTGATCTGACTTAGTACTGTCTTATATATTTCTGTAATGATATTTCAGTGACATGTAAGTCATGCTAGAAGTATAAGTCTTGAGCATCCTTTGACCTTTTAGGTTTTTACGAAGTTATCATTTTCATATACTGGGTACTGTACCTTAAGGAAAATATTGTTTGAAAATTGCAGTTAAGAGAACATGTAAAACTGACGAAGTGTAAACAACTGACACTTCAGATTGTGATCACCTGTAAATTAAGTGGAAACCACTCTGAAGAAATCAAAATTTTGTTGCATGACAGGTTTAGTTATAAAATGTATTTCTTAAATCCCTTTCAAATTATGATGAGAACCTAATGTTGTGTCCATATCTTTAGTCTGGAGGTGAAGTACATGAAACTGGCTGAGAACTCTGACCGTAACTACGACGGTGAACTGCCTGGGGTGGACTCCTGCGCCTTGGAGGATGGAGAGGATGACCAGTACGACTCTGTGACATTCAAGGAAAGTCGTGGCGCCAGGTTCTTCAAGAAACTGCGTGGCAAGAGGGGAAAGGTAAGCTGTCGGCACAGAAAAGTTAGGCACTTGTCATGAAGTTCTTTACACCACTCTTAGACACTCGTGGTTAAGACACTAAGGATATTGATACCACAGTTAGGCACTTATCACTAAGAATGTTGACACTACAGTTAGAAGCATTTGAAATAATTTGCATTGCTGTTACAGAAACTAAAAACCAAAAGAAGCACACGTCCCCGTACCGTTCAACAGATAAATGAAGGCACCCCCTGCATCATCACTCACGAACACACTGCCTACACGATCCCAAACAGAAAAACATCAAAGACAAAAGCACAACCGAAGGTCAAACAAGTTATACACATACCATATCATCAACAAGCATCACACACCTTACTCCTGACTAACTATGTCTAACAACCTCAGCAAGTCTTTACTAAACTTTACTATATATCAATAAGTTATACACATACCATATCATCAACAAGCATCACACACCTTACTCCTGACTAACTATGTCTAACAACCTCAGCAAGTCTTTACTAAACTTTACTATATATCAATAAGTTATACACATACCATATCATCAACAAGCATCACACACCTTACTCCTGACTAACTATGTCTAACAACCTCAGCAAGTCTTTACTAAACTTTACTATATATCAATAAGTTATACACATACCATATCATCAACAAGCATCACACACCTTACTCCTGACTAACTATGTCTAACAACCTCAGCAAGTCTTTACTAAACTTTACTATATATCAATAAGTTATACACATACCATATCATCAACAAGCATCACACACCTTACTCCTGACTAACTATGTCTAACAACCTCAGCAAGTCTTTACTAAACTTTACTATATATCAAACAAGTTATACACATACCATATCATCAACAAGCATCACACACCTTACTCCTGACTAACTATGTCTAACAACCTCAGCATGTCTTTACTAAACTTTACTATATATCAAACAAGTTATACACATACCATATCATCAACAAGCATCACACACCTTACTCCTGACTAACTATGTCTAACAACCTCAGCATGTCTTTACTAAACTTTACTATATATCAAACAAGTTATACACATACCATATCATCAACAAGCATCACACACCTTACTCCTGACTAACTATGTCTAACAACCTCAGCATGTCTTTACTAAACATTACTATATATCAACATCAACCTGCACTGGAGTGGACACAGATACCTCGTTAATTGGAAGTCTGCTCTCCTCACAACGAATATTAAATAATTAACTCATTCACCCCTGAAGACACATTTGAACCTTTCCAATTCAAAGTTTGGAATAAATCATCATGAAATTTCAGGGGTGAATGAAATGAAGAAAAATTGATGGAAAATGGTTCTACCCAGTTTCACTAATTTTCCTTAAATTACTAAAGAAAATTACGTAAAATAGGGATTTTTTTCTATTAGAAAGCATTGCCAGATTAAGAAAAAATTCTGTAAGATATTTCTTTCATTCCAGTCTGCCTGCTAATGAGAAATAATTCAATAAGGGATGCTATTGAAGCTGGGCCTGCTGGATGTTGGTACATGTGTTCCGATATAAAACGTTCTGGGTTATCAAATCAGAATTATCAATTATTAGTAATGATATATAAAGTTTTCCAGTTTATAACATCAGAATTACCGAGGTTCCAGCGTATGGGCTATAGGTGTCATACTAATTTATAATCACTGAGTCTTATACAATCACTCACATATCAATTCATTCTATTTTACAGACATCATTAATTTTGTATGTCTAGTTAATTGTGTTTGAGCACTTTATCAATATTTGGTTGAGTTGTACATTAACCTTGTGCACGGTATACACTAAGTGTCTGTTCTTGTAATGTATTGTGTAGTCCATTTTCCCCTCATTATTTTTCCCTCAACATATAAATATAAATGTTGCATACTGTAAAATCATAAACTCTCGTGGGACATTAAATTTCGTTTATTTCGTGGATAACAAAAATCCAAGAAATTAAATCAGCAAAATATAATGTCCTTGAAACAGGCTAGTATATGAAAACCACGAAATTTTAACCCCACAAAATAAATGATTCTACAGTATTATTATTTATTATTGGTTATTATTATTATCATTTTCACATCAACAGACCGGTGATGACTTCTTTTCTGTAAGTAGTGATCCAACAGGTGGATGGTAGCCATGGTGACAGATTTACTCTCATCCTTGTATCCCGGAGTAGGTGGAAATTCTGTTATTCAAGTTACATTTCAAGCACTGTTGAATCTAGCTTCATTAATAATGCTTTAATACCTTGCATTTGGCACTGGTGTTTGTCCAAGTGAGGAAGGTGATGGGTTCTGTCCCCAAGTCGAGCCATACTGAAGTCATTAAAACAGCATTTAGGTATTGGCAAACCGTTTGGAATAGCTGATACATACTTGTACAGATTTGCAGAGTTTAGGTTTGGAGTTAGTGTCAAGATTCATGTCACCATTCAGTAGGTGCTCAGGTGTAATATTGGTATACCAGATAAGTTCATTTCGCATGATGAGTCTGTCATTGTGATAAGAGAAAAAATGGGTTGTGTCTTAGAGGTCCACATTCACATGACCGATATGTACTAAGATTTTCCTATATAGATCAGAGTTAAGTACACTGACTTTGTTTCTTATTTTACATGGTCAAAATTGCAGAAAATGTTTACTTAAATCTTTGAGGGTTGTTTTCAAACAGAGAGTGTTTAAATTGTGATGTTGTTGGCTTGGATTTTGTATCGTTGGGTAGTTTGTTCAAAAGATTTGCTACATGTGGTTTGAAAGAGGAACTTGTAGAATGTAGACAATATTTTGAAGGTTTTCCATGAGATTCATCAGTTTGGAAATATTTTATATTAAAGTTTCACCTTATACACAAACAATGTACGATCAAACGTGTCACAACGTACTAAGACCGACTGGTCCCTTTGTCAAGCCATGACTGAGTGAGACCGACTGGTCCCTTTGTCAAGCTATGACTGAGTGAGACTGACTGGTCCCTTTGTCAAGCTATGACTGAGTGAGACCGACTGGGCCCTTTGTCAAGCTATGACTGAGTGAGACTGACTGGTCCCTTTGTCAAGCTATGACTGAGTGAGACCGACTGGTCCCTTGGTCAAGCCATGACTGAGTGAGACCGACGGGTCCCTTTGTCAAGCCATGACGGAGTGAGCCCGACTGGTCCTTTTGTCAAGCCATGACTGAGTGAGACCGTCTGGTCCCTTTGTCAAGCCATGACTGAATAAGACCGACTGGTCCCTTTGTCAAGCCATGACTGAATGAGACCGACTGGTCCCTTTGTCAAGCCATGCCTGAGTGAGACCGACTGGTCCCTTTGTCACGCCATGACTGAGTGAGACCGACTGGTCCGTTTGTCAAGCCATGACTGAGTGAGATCGACTGGTCCCTTTGTCAAGCTATGACTGAGTGAGACCGACTGGGCCCTTTGTCAAGCTATGACTGAGTGAGACTGACTGGTCCCTTTGTCAAGCTATGACTGAGTGAGACCGACTGGGCCCTTTGTCAAGCTATGACTGAGTGAGACCGACTGGGCCCTTTGTCAAGCTATGACTGAGTGAGACCGACTGGGCCCTTTGTCAAGCTATGACTGAGTGAGACTGACTGGTCCCTTTGTCAAGCTATGACTGAGTGAGACCGACTGGGCCCTTTGTCAAGCTATGACTGAGTGAGCCCGACTGGTCCCTTTGTCAAGCTATGAGTGAGTGAGACCGACTGGTCCCTTTGTCAAGCTATGACTGAATGAGCGATTTGTATTGTTTACCTGTAAAACAATGAGATAAAATTGTATGTTTAATATGTCACTCGACCTGGGATGTTTCGCCTATTGATAGAAAGTGTATACACACTGTGTGAAATAGGGGGACACCAGCTGAGTCATCTGTGTGACTCAATACTGACCTAACAGGAGAGGGGGCTAGATCTTAACCTATTCGACACAGTGTGTATACAGTTTCTATCTATAACAGGAGAGGGGGCTAGATCTACACCCTACGAGTAACCTATTGAACACAGTGTGTATACAGTCTCTATCTATAACAGGAGAGGGGGCTAGATCTACACCCTACGAGTAACCTATTCCACACAGTGTGTATACAGTCTCTATCTATAACAGGAGAGGGGGCTAGATCTACACCCTACGAGTAACCTATTCCACACAGTGTGTATACACTCTCTATCTATAACAGGAGAGGGGGCTAGATCTACACCCTACGAGTAACCTATTCCACACAGTGTGTATACAGTCTCTATCTATAACAGGAGAGGGGGCTAGATCTACACCCTACGAGTAACCTATTCCACACAGTGTGTATACACTCTCTATCTATAACAGGAGAGGGGGCTAGATCTACACCCTACGAGTAACCTATTCCACACAGTGTGTATACATTCTCTATCTATAACAGGAGAGGGGGCTAGATCTACACCCTACGAGTAACCTATTCCACACAGTGTGTATACAGTCTCTATCTATAACAGGAGAGGGGGCTAGATCTACACCCTACGAGTAACCTATTCCACACAGTGTGTATACAGTCTCTATCTATAACAGGAGAGGGGGCTAGATCTACACCCTACGAGTAACCTATTCCACACAGTGTGTATACACTCTCTATCTATAACAGGAGAGGGGGCTAGATCTACACCCTACGAGTAACCTATTCCACACAGTGTGTATACAGTCTCTATCTATAACAGGAGAGGGGGCTAGATCTACACCCTACGAGTAACCTATTCCACACAGTGTGTATACACTCTCTATCTATAACAGGAGAGGGGGCTAGATCTACACCCTACGAGTAACCTATTGGACACAGTGTGTATACAGTCTCTATAACAGGAGAGGGGGCTAGATCTACACCCTACGAGTAACCTATTCACCACAGTGTGTATACACTCTCTATCTATAACAGGAGAGGGGGCTAGATCTACACCCTATGAGTAACCTATTCCACACAGTGTGTATACAGTCTCTATAACAGGAGAGGGGGCTAGATCTACATCCTACGAGTAACCTATTCCACAAAGTGTGTATACACTCTCTATTGATAGACGAAACATTCTTGATCAAGTGACATATCAATTTTTCAGTATATGAATTAAATTCACCTATTTCTTCTTTGCTTTTATTTAGTTATTTCTTTTTTATGTAATTCTTTCTTAATCTGTTTCTTGTTTTGTTTTCTCACCTTGAATGAAGATTAATCCATCATTCGTCATTTCAACCTACATGCATGCTTTGCTTTTTTATTTCGGTGCTTGAAGTTAATATTTAAAGGTGGTAGTATTGGTTCTCAAATACATGTATTATACTAGCATACCTCTGGTATAAACTAACATCAGACTTACACAGATTTCACTATAAGGTTTTAATTGATATATTATTTATAGATTTGTTTCATATCCTGTGAATTTACAAGAACTCTTTTAAAATCATATGCTCACAGATCACAATGTATATAAAACAATTACCAGCGGGCTTAAGTCTGTGACCTATCAGTGACTTTCGTTGTTATGCTCACAGATCACAATGTATATAAAACCATTACCTGTGGGCTTAAGCCTGTGACCTATCAGTGACTTTTGTTGTTATGCTCACAGATCACAATGTATATAAAACAATTACCTGCGGGCTTAAGCCTGTGACCTATCAGTGACTTTCGTTGTTATGCTCACAGATCACAATGTATATAAAACAATTCCCTGCGGGCTTAAGCCTGTGACCTATCAGCGACTTTTATTGTTATGCTCACAGATCACAATGTATATAAAACCATTACCTGTGGGCTTAAGCCTGTGACCTATCAGTGACTTTTATTGTTATGCTCACAGATCACAATGTATATAAAACAATTACCTGCGGGCTTAAGCCTGTGACCTATCAGTGACTTTCGTTGTTATGCTCACAGATCACAATGTATATAAAACAATTACCTGCGGGCTTAAGCCTGTGACCTATCAGTGACTTTCGTTGTTATGCTCACAGATCACAATGTATATAAAACAATTACCTGCGGGCTTAAGCCTGTGACCTATCAGTGACTTTCGTTGTTATGCTCACAGATCACAATGTATATAAAACAATTACCTGCGGGCTTAAGCCTGTGACCTATCAGTGACTTTCGTTGTTATGCTCACAGATCACAATGTATATAAAACAATTACCTGCGGGCTTAAGCCTGTGACCTATCAGTGACTTTCGTTGTTATGCTCACAGATCACAATGTATATAAAACAATTACCTGCGGGCTTAAGCCTGTGACCTATCAGTGACTTTCATTGTTATGCTCACAGATCACAATGTATATAAAACAATTACCTGCAGGCTTAAGCCTGTGACCTATCAGTGACTTTCGTTGTTATGCTCACAGATCACAATGTATATAAAACAATTACCTGTGGGCTTAAGCCTGTGACCTATCGTTGTTATGCTCACACAATATAGCTCAATGTTAAACAACAAATCTAACAGCTGCTGAACAGAGGTTTTCAGTGCTAGAACTTCACTGGGATAGGATGAGAAGGATTTACATATTGTTCTTAAAATTCAACTACCTGTATCTTAAATTACATAAACATGAACATACATATAATATTTCTTCTACTTATGGTAAATTTACACAGAACAGCAGTATTTCTGGTAACTTTACACAGAACAGCAGTATTTCTGGTAACTTTACACAGAACAGCAGTATTTCTGTTCATGTTACATTCACGTTGTATCAGTTTCATCTGACACCTGTAGCATGTTGGCTTTAGAATTTAATTTCTTCCCTCTTTATTTTAGGACGATGAGAATCCATTTGAGCCATCCAATGGTGAAAAAATCCCACTAACGTAACCATGGAAACAGCTTGACATGTCTGTAACCATGGAAACAGCTAGACATGTCTGTAACCATGGAAACAGCTAGACATGTCCATATTTGACAGAACGGGTCGGTGGACATGATGGGACCAAATGACATTTAGCATTGATTAACTGTTTATATTGATTGTTAGTGGGCCGCTCCACAGAGGAGGTTTTCACAAAGGATTTCTTACTAATGATGTTCCTGCAGGCCTGTTGTGAAAAACAAGGAAAAATTTGAAAGGGTGGCTACTTTCCACATCAGAAAACGGAGAGGAACGTAAAGGGAGACAAGTCAGATAAATGTCAGATTAACTCAGTAAGCTTGACATCTTATGTGACATTTGTGATAAAATTGTTTCTCCCTAATCTTAATGTCATCTCAAAATGCATCAATGTTGATTGGTCCCAAAAAATATTTTTTTGTTTCTTTGTTTTTTTTCTTTCAAATAGTTATTATTTCTGTTTTTCTTACATGAGCTTGTTTGTTTGATAAACTTTCGTATCAGTTAAATGGACAATTAAATATTAAAAACATGGGTGACCACTTTTTTTCAAAGTAGTAACCACTGCAGGTAAGGAACTAAATATTACTAAATATTTCCTGTTATTAAGGGTTTTTTTCTGATTCCATTTTTTCTATTTAAATAAAACAGAATGTATCTTTATAATTTCCATGTAGATCTATGTTATATCACAAAATCTGAGTTTAATGTTTTCATTATGACCTTGAGCAGTAACAAGTTTATCCTCAGTAAGTTAACAAGTGATAATCTTTTTTTTTTTTGGGGGGGGGGGGGGGGGGTCATTTATTTTCTTGCAAATTCAAATATTTATGTTAAGAGGGTGTATCATATTTTAAAAAAAACACTTACCGTATCTTGATGTTGTGATTCATGTAAAATGTACCATGAATAATTTCTTAATTTGTCTTCGATTCCATGGCGCCGAGTCAATTATACATGTTTTTGATACATTTTATCTGATCAGAATTATATTTAACTGTGTTTATGTAATTTTTCTGTTATTTTCTTTTTTGAGGTTTAATTTGTCACTTCTGTTACCTTAACATGATTATAGACCACATAAAGCCAGTATCTATGTGTACATCCTATAGGTATGTAACACAGGATTAAGATTTCTGGTTTTTATCTACAAGGCAGAAAGAGCTACATATACCTACGATTTGTGTAAGAGTTATCTCCCTTAAGGCTATATGCTACCTAACACATTATACCTATGCTACCTTTCACATTATACCTATGATTTGTGTTAGATTTATCTCCCTTACGGATTTATGCTACCTTACACATGATACCTATGATTTGTGTTGGATCTTGGGTTACATCATCGTCGAAAGTCCATGGGTTATGCTCAATTACATTCTGTGCACTCCTAAAACATGCCAGGACAGAATAAAGGGCTCTATAGTAGACTTGTTTGATACTTTCTTGTAAATCAAAAGAATCATGCGGAAGCGTAACGGAAAAAAATGATCAGCTTTGAAATTGGGTTTTGCTACTCAGTGATTTTCAAGTACATATATCAGCCTAGCATTTTGTCTATTTTTTCTTTTACTTGAAATAGCTTATTTTGTGCCTTCAATTTTTGCTATGACATATTCCTGTGGTGAAGAGAACTCTTTTATTTACTGGTAGCTTTGTAAGTCTTTTCCTGAAAGAGGCTTCACATTTTATAATAGAACTGTTTTAGAAATGAGATGATTGTCCCAATGGGTATTGTAGCATACAGCCTTAATAATGTACTAGATACGTTACACAGATGGTCCCATTCTTTTTAACGTCTCTACCCATAATCACGTCTCAGGACGGTGTTTATAGTTATCATATAAATGTGGACTATTCATTGATGTTTTTTTCAAGATTGGTGAATATTGAAAATTTAAAATTACTTTAATTCAAGAATTTCTAATTCAAATTTTTTTAAAAGTTGAACGTTCCCCTTCCTCCCCACTAATTGATTTTTCAATATTTGTTTTATAAGGTATACTAAACTTGTTTTGAATCACCAGACCTGGGTGTGAGCCTGTGTATATGTTAATGGCGATATATATTATTTTAGAGGAGATCAAACTGATCTCTCCACAAGACATTGTGATCTGTGGAACACGCAGGGTTACTGTCCGCAAGGTTGTGTTGGTGACAAACAAGTGACCTTTCCTAAGTGTTATATAGCTAGGGGTGTAAGGTTACACTGACTTTACGATATACATCTCTATACAATCTGTATACTGATACAATGCCCTTACGATATACATCTCTATACAATCTGTATACTGATACAATGCCCTTACGATATACATCTCTATAAAATCTGTATGCTGATACAATGCCCTTTGTATCCTGACGCTGGCACAATTCAAATGAGAAAATAGATAACTTGTTGCATTTAACTTTTGTCCAATGTGTTGTATCTTATTGTGGTTATATAAATTCTAGTAATATACAAATGCACTGTTAAATCAATTGTTTGCAAGGTTTTTTTGTTTTTGGTAAGATGACATCATTTATCATAACTTTTTAAGAAATTTATGCCTGTATCTCAGTAATTACTATGTAACATGTATTTAACTTTATTTTGCACATCTTTGAGTGCATTAACATGATAAATTATTGGTATGTGTCTATGAATGGGTATATCGTTACACCCAGTACACCATCCTGCCTGCTAGCTAGCCTAGGCTGTGATAAAGCTAAATCTTTCTTCAGTTCTATGTTGAATGTTTTTAAAGCATACGCACATGATAAAAATGTTATCATTTTTTATATACAATTTGAAATCCAAGCACTTCAACAATAAGTTTAGCATTGTTACAATACTACCTGGATAAACATACTGTTCGTTTAATATACCTGTACATGTATATCTACTGTTGTATAGAGAACTTAGGAATGGTTGTGTGGGGAGAAGATAGGAAACACGGTTGTGTGGGGAGAAGACTAGAAACACGGTCGTGTGGGGAGAAGACAGGAAACACGGTCGTGTGGGGAGAAGATAGGAAACACGGTTGTGTGGGGAGAAGATAGGAAACACTGTTGTGTGGGGAGAAGATAGGAAACATGGTTGTGTGGGTAGAAGATAGGAAACACGGTTGTGTGAGGAGAAGATAGGAAACACGGTTGTGTGGTGAGAAGATAGGAAACACGGTTGTGTGAGGAGAAGATAGGAAACACGATTGTGTGGGTAGAAGATAGGAAACACGGTTGTGTGGTGAGAAGATAGGAAACACGGTTGTGTGTGGAGAAGATAGGAAACACGGTTGTGTGGTGAGAAGATAGGAAACACGGTCGTGTGGGGAGCAGATAGGAAACACGGTTGTGTGGGGGGAGAAGATAGGAAACACGGTTGTGTGGGGAGAGGATAGGAAACATGTGAAACAAAACATCACTTGGTGACAGTTGGATGTCACAAAGAGGGATTAGAGGTTCTGATTCTCATATTCTGTTACAGGTATTTAATTATATACTAGTATTCAAAAAAACTTAAATAGCTAGAAGTTTGTATTTTTGGTCTGCATGATAATGATTTAATGAACAAGTATCATTTATAAATATGTAATCATTATGTTAAGCATCTATATAGCACCTTATATATTTTATGAAATTGCTGTAAAGTGCTTGAACATTTTCTTCTAATTGGTCATCTGCTGTTTACTGCCAAAATGTTAGTGAGCTAAAATTTTCGGAATAAAAATTGAAATTTTATGGGCAGAGTTTGAAACTAAGGTTTATTTTCAGCTATTCATGAAGTATAAATTTAGTTTTAGAAGTCACAATAAACTGATATGGGATAATTTGCCTGTCCTGGTGCTCTCTCCTGCTATATTGACACAGAAATTCACATCTATCTGTTAGGTATATATCTCTTCTCTTATTTCATTTTACAGTGCTCTTAAATGTAAAAAAATATTTTAGAAAACAAGAGTTTTCCATATTTCATTTCAAACACAGTCTATCACTTTTGTCAGAGCTGACTTTCTGTATGAGAAGTGATTGATAATCAGATATACCTAATTCCTTTGTCTTACATAAGTTGCCCTGGAGAAAGAGACCGCTACGCAAAATCCTTTTTATCTTGTCAGCATTGCATTGATTGGTTTGTTATTTAAGTTTCTCTTTTACAAGTTATCATTTTATTTGATATTTTCTCATATGAAATCCAGATTTCTATCGGTGGTATGGGTATCTGTAATGTATGGCTCGTACTGTAGGTTTCAAAAGCCTTGTCTCGCCTATGTGTGAAATGATATCGGTACTATATGCATATGTTGTGTTTATTATTATTTCTATCCCGTCACCTGTTGTGCAATTAATGTATGTGGTTGGTGTCTGTGGTGAATTTCCCATCATAAAATGGTACTGTTACGGAAATTTAACTTACAATCAAAACAAATCTCGTATAAATAAAGTTGAACCTAGCCTTTTTATTTTCAATTGTAATGTATGAATTTAGAATAATAGGATGTGAACTCCATTTCATGTTATAAGAACTAATGTAATGCTGGGATTTCTATAGACTGATAATTCTCCAAGCTTTTAAAACGTATATATATATCAGCGTTAAGCTACACACTGCATTACTTAGTGCAATATGTCAGAAATGGTTGTGTAAGATTGATGGAAAAATCTATAAAAATAACCTCTTGTTTTCCCTTAATTTGTTCTTCGCATTTAAGTATTGAAGGACTATGATCAGTAATGAACTAGATTTTGACAATAACAATATGCTTTCATTGTTTTGTGAAACTGAACTGTACAGTCGGTTGTACAGATAAACCTAATATTGGTCTCATGACTTTAAAGGATTTTTTTGTGTTCTTTTATTTACACATGGTTCAGTTTTCATTTACCTCTAGGACATACAAGCCTTGTAGATACTACCTAAGGTGATCCCGTTTGAAGGGTGTCACGTGATGGTGGTACGTGGTTGTGGTGTTGTTACACGTTTGTTAAGTGATATCGGTTGTGTCGGGCATGTAATGCCACAGAGTAGTGATATATGACTAGCACACTTATTTATGTCAACATCAGCATGTTTATGTAATAAGGTTGAAAGAATATGGTAATTGTTGTTTTTCCCTGAAGCACGGCCCAAAGTAGATATCACAAATCGGGGATGGTTCAGTACGTGTCATTAGACTTGTTATCAAACTCTGTTTGATGATATCTATTGTAAAAGTTTGATTGTGCTGTAAAAGTACTGTTCTTGTCTCACAGGTAAAACGAAACGAAAAAAAAGCATTTGTAACCAGTTTATCTTCAGTAAGATTAATCAGTTTGGAAATATGTATGTATCTATAAGTTTTACTTATACCCAAACAATGTACGTATTGAATGTGTTGCAATGATTCAAAGCCGCCTTGTCCTTTTGTCAATTTACAAGCTATATACTCCTTGATAGTTTGACAAAACAACCAGTCGGTCTTGAAATGATGCGACATGTGCGATACCTATATTCGGTGCATCATGTAAAACTTTTGATACGTTGTAATCAGTTTACAGTACGATATGTGCTCATCCAGTGTTATTGCAGGCAAATTGGTGGGTTGTCTACATTTTATCATAAACTTTTAGGGATAAAGCCTGATGGACCTGCAATTGTTAATACAGGTCTCGGAAGTCTTTGTCAAAGCTTGCCATCTTGTAAGTTTTTGTCGAAGCTTACATGATCGCAAGGTCTATCCACATCTCAGCGAAGATCCCTGGTCCATCTTGTCGAACTGTTTGGATTGCAATAAACGACAGCGGCCCCGTATTTGTTTCTAGTATATA